CCTTTTGTATTGTCTTTCCAACATGCTAATCGCCTGTTTCTGATATGTTCAAAATACTCAGTGGGAGTAATTACAGGTCTGAAAATGCGTGTGCTTTTTTGGGGTCTTTATGTGAAATAAAAGCTAATAGATTATTTCATAGTTATTTGCACCGTTTCCTTTGCCTGCAATACAGGCTTATTCAACATTTCTGGGGTCCTTTAAGGGGACTTATACACCTTAAAACCCATAAGATGTTCGAATAGGTGACTGTTGCAAGAATTGGGATAACTTATTTATTTTAAAAGCAATTACTACCAACTTTTTACAGCTGACTACATAATATAGCTGCTTTCTGAAATAGTCATCAGAAAGTTTGTGTTGCCACAAATATTTTTATAATTTAATCCGCTTTGTGACAACATTTTTTGTCATGTTTCCAACTTGCGCGCACAGTTTAAAACATTCTGTTTCATAATTTAATTCCATATCTAATATATAGCTTTTATAACATCTGGAAACTACTGTGAACCTAACATTCTAAAAATTTCATGTTAAATTTTTATTTTATTTTGAGTCGAGTTTATAAAATGTATTTTACTAACAAAATTTGTAATGTTTTCGTCCATAAAATTTTTCAATATTAAAATATTCACCAGATTGTTGGTTCATTTAGAAAATCGTGCCCATATAAAGAATTCCATCCAATTTCAAGTATGTACCATTAACCATTTTTAAAATATCATGCGCGCAAGGTGGACACATGGCGAAATATTTTGTCACAAAGAGGATTAAATTACAAAAATATTTGTGGCAACACAAACTTTCTGGTTACTAGTTTCCAAGCAGCTATATTAGTAGTCAGCTGTAAAAAGTTGGAAGTAATTGCTTTTAAAATAAATAAAATATCCCAATTCTTGCAAAAGTCACATTTTCGAAGATCATGAGGGGTTTAAGGTGTATGAGTCCCCTTAAGTAGGCATGATAATTTTTAAGGAGATCAGCCTTCAACTAGTTAATTACTATCTCTCACGAATCTACAATTTTCGAAGCTAACAAAGCACATCTTATTTCCTTTCCTTAAACACCAAGCTTAATTGTTATTAGTTGTGGATGCTTGCATTTCATAAAAGGAAAATTCTGAGAGCACTTTCAGATCCTGCAATAGTAAATTAAAAACTGATATGCATTGTAGCTTGCTAAGAGAACCCATTCATAGTTCGAGGCGATTTTAGTTACCTGTGTATGATAAGAAAGCAAAATGGCTTGGGAACCGTGAATTGTTTTACACATTACAGTGCATGGCTATTGCTGATGTTCAACATTATTATCTATTTGTGTTCTCATAAATATTGGTCACTTTTAGACATAATTTTCTAAGGAAGGTAGTCACTTGAATGATTTTATTATTTTTATTTTATTCTCTTGTATTTTAAATGTTTATTTCTTGAAAAGAATTGTGGAATTGTAAAATTTGCTCAATTAGAAATCGAGGTGTAGGTAACGTTGTTCCTTAAGGGGTCTTCGTATTCAGTATTTCTCCCCTTCTTACCGACTTTCTGGAAAACTCACAAAAACACATTTTCGCAGTTGTACGACAGATTCTTCCAGAAATTTCCAGATCCCTCGGTACACGGTATAAATACGGTTCGAAATGGCATGGAGTTTATTTGTGAAAAAGTTGCGAAATAGGTAGGAGATTTAGCGGTTAGCTGAATTACGAGTTAGGGTTTACTCTGAGAGTAATACGATGAATTTTATGATTTATTTCGAGTGTTAAGGAGAAATTTCTGAATATCAATGTTTTCCTTGAGTTTTTTACAGCCATTATTGTGCTGTGTTTACTATTGTTTACTCCTATTTTCCTTATAAGTTGTCCTTTTCTTCCTACTTATCTGGACTGATTCTTCAAAGAATCATCAACGATTCCGTAGCTCTCCACAATAGCATACAATAAAATGTAATATAATATAATGTTGTACAGACATTAGTTTACTTCGAAATAGAAGATATGAAAAATGAGCAATGTCCTCGCCGAGACTCGAACCTCGGACCTTTCGATACGCGCACAGTGTACTGAGCATTACACCATGAAGGCATGCTAAGAAGGCGGGAGAAATACCTTATATACTCTCGCTTTTAAAGGACGACTAGGGATCAGTGGCCCAATCGTCAAATTCTGGTGGTGAAGAATCATCATCCACCAACGTTTTTAGTTCGGACGCAACTGTAGAGTCATGTAGAATTTTTTTAATCAGGAAATTGAAGAAATGTGCAAAGGCTTCGCCGGAACTCGAATCCCGGACCTGTCGATATGCGCCGAGTGTGCTGACCATTACACCACGAAGGCATACTAAGAAGGCGGGAGAAAATACCTTATAATATAATATGAATGCGCTTTAAAACAGGTGCAGTTATTATACTGAGCTCCGCAGATACAAGTGAAACCACTACGTGGACTTAATAAGAAAGACTCGGACCTTATAATTTCATAAGATCCAAAAACCAGACACAGCGACCAATGAGAGAACCTCACACTCACGTGATGCACAATCATTTGTTCCCAAGTGATCATGAGTCTATTTCTTTGGTGTATCTCCAAGTATTACTTCGCTATCCCCTAAGATAGGCGTACTCCACTGAGACCACTATTCTAGATTATACAATAGATAATATTTGGATTTTTCTTTTACCCAAAACTTACGAAAAGCTTAAAGTCACTTTTTATTTAATTTGGAAACAGGCAATTTTAGCAAATAATACTTTTAGCTGAAAATAACTGTAACTTTATGTGTTTTTTAATCCATTTACGCTTCTTGGAATGCGTGATATATGTGTTTTACATTCTGTTCATTAGGTTGAAGGGGTTTATTTTAATTTTTTAATAGTTATTTTTATTTTTCAATAAGCTGTCTTTCACTTCCTTGTCTCCCACTTACAAATCCCTCCCAGAATGAGTTTTTGAAGTCTCGGCCACTTCAGCCCATTTAGAAGTTCTTAGTAGATCATGTTCTGACTAAAGGGTGTCCCAAAATTAACGCAAGATTTGAATTTGGCGCCATTTTTGCATTACGTTGTTGGCAGCAATGAAAAAAGAACAGTTTGAAAGCCGAGAGTTTAGGGTTAGTGAAAATGGAGCGTTATACGATACAACAACGTGTCTTTGTTGTTGAACAATATTTTTTAAATAATGAAAGTTTGGCGGCTGCAGTTCCAAAATTGTATATAAAATATGGTTAAAATGGTGTTTTAACCTCGTCAACTGTGAAAAGATTAATTGAAAAAATCGTGGAGACTGCATCAGTTGGAGACGCTAAACACACCGGTCGTTCAAAAACAAGCTGTTCAAAAGTCAATATTGAAGCAGTGCGTGAGAGTGTTGGGGAAAACTCAGGAACATCAATTCGGCGTCGTGGACAAGAATTGAAAATTTCAAGAAGCTCCCTACAGCGTATACTAACAAAAGATCTGTGTCTTCATGCTTACAAAATTCAATTAACACAACAACTGAAGCCTAGTAACCATGAACAGCGAAGACAGTTCATGGAATGGATTATTAATGCAATTTCTGGTTTTTCGAGCAAAATAATCCTTAGCGATGAAGCACATTTTCTCCTCGATGGCTTTGTTAATCGCCAAAATTGCCGTGTTTGGGGTTCGAAGAACCCACGTATGATTAGGGAGAAACAAATGCACCACAACGTGTAACTGTTTTGTGCGGATTTGGGGCAGGAGGCATCATCGGACCATACGTTTTTGAGAATGAGCTAGTTAAACTGTTAATGGTGCTGGATAGCAACTGTTAATGGTGCTCGATATCGCGACATGATAACACTGTTCTTTCTGCTGAAATTGGATGATATTGATATGGCCAATATCTGGTTTCAACAAGACGGTGCCACTTGCCATACAGCCAATGAAACAATTCAATTACGGCATGAGACATTTCCTGATCGTGTAATCTCTCGTTTGGGTGATCAGAATTGGTCCCCTAGATCATGTGATTTAACACCATTAGATTTCTTCTTATGGGGTTATTTGAAATCAAAGGTCTATGTCAACAATCCCACAACCACATGTGCATTACAAGAGGAAATTAAGCGCTGCATCAACGATATTCAGCCACAATTATGCAGATGGTCATGAAAAATTTCGACGAAAGGGCGTCTATGTGCCAGCAAAGCCGTGGATGCCATTTGCCCGATGTGTTATTCCATAAATAAATTTATTCTATGTACTTTATGATTCACTTAAAACATAAATATCTAAAGACTAAAAACTCTCTTTTATATTGAATTCAAATCTTGCGTTAATTTTGTTAATTTGCTTTCTGGGACACCCTTTACATCGTTGCTTTAAGTCTAATCTTACTACGTACGTAGTGTCGCGTACCTGCTAGTATTCGCCGATGATCTCTAATAAGGGCCAACTCTGTTAGTTATTGTGCAGCTTTTCTAACTGAAGTTAAAGCCCAGATGAAGGCTTATTTTAAGTCCTAGAGGAACCATCCGTTAAATACTTGAGTTGAAATAAAGGATACATTTAACCATCCGTTAAATACTTGAGTTGAAATAAAGGATACATTTAATCATTCTTTGGACTTATTACTGGCTAGAAACTCTGCGATTATTGAAGAAGTTAAACAACAAGAATCAGCATAATATTTGTAAATTTTTCAGGACTAGTTTCGATGTTTCTCTAGTTAAACCATCAAAACTTGTCCTGTAAAATTTACAACTATTACGCTGATTCTTGTTATTTGACTTCTTCAATAATCATTATTCGGCGTGTTATTTTAACCTAAATTATAGGAACTCTTCGATTTATTCGGTTCACAGTTCTTAAGTATTCTAACTCGCAAGGACCACAAATTTAGCTAGAATGGTGTATAAAATTAGCCAAAGTAGAAATGTTCAAAAGGCAAAGTTATAGTTTTTTGACAGTATTTACTTTTTGTATGCTATTACCTTTACCAAAATTAATATAGAACCAGAGGGAAAAACAGAGAAGTGCTCGAAATATTGTATCCATGTACGAAAAGACGACTTTTCTCAACAATCCAGATGCACCAGCAGAGGAGCCAAAGAAGTTTGCTTTCGATTACAGTTACTGGTCACATGATGGATATCGAACCACAGAATCTGGACTATTAGTTCCAGATCCCCAGCATCCGAACGGAGATAAATATTGCGATCAGGTAAGACTAACATTTTCTTTAGAACATTGTAAAATGTTTATGCTAAACTAAGATCAGAACCTTTACTATAATTTCCTCTTTCCGAGATAACCAATTACTAAGATCTGAACCTTTACTATAATTTCCTCTTTCCAATGTCCTCATCATAATGCAAATTAGTTGTGCGAGTGTTTTAAGTTGAGGCTGCTAGAAGTTTTATTGTTAAAGCAGGTGTTTTTAATCGGAAGTTAGTTTCTCCCTAGGAGGAATTTCATAGTTTCAGGTGCTGAGGAACGTGGTCAGCCTTTTATTTAGCTCTTAAGATCCTTCGGTTTATGAATATAAAAAACTATTTTTATTTAAATTTTAATAGTTATCAACATTTTCTATACATTTTGTTGTTTAATTTATAAAACACATTAAAAATATTTTAAATCTGAAGAAAAATGTTTATGTACTTTTCAAGTTTTGGAAAGGAGCGCGAGAATGCTCTTCTAACAATGGTAAAAGTGGCGCATGGGGCAAAATAGATTGCGAACTATTGTGTTAAAGCTTTTGGCAGCCTCGTTTGCAGTTTACATCCTCTTGCCAGCTCTGCCTAATTTCGTTGTTTCCGGCTTTAGCCATTTTTCTAGTCGACGTTAAAAACGGTCCTTTAATTATTTGAGCCAGCTTAAGTAAACCATATTGTGTAATCTGCGACTACAGTACTTAAATTTAAATTTTTCATTACTTTATTATTTAACTAGCAGAAGAGACCGATGCCAGTTACGTTAGATTGAAAGTGATGTACGTGTGAGTAACACGTGCATACGAAAATATCCCTAACATTAACTAGGAAAGCCGAAATCTTAGTTAAGATAGACATGTTACAATTATAATAATCAAATTTAATAAGGAAAAGTAACAGTTGCCGGGTACATTATAACGGCTTAAGAAATTCAGAGCACAGTACAGATGCGAGTACACAAGTTCACATATCTCGGCGAAGCAGAGACGCACACATTCGTTGAAGTAGTTCCACTTGACTGCCGGGGAAAATTCTTCTCTCCCCGTCAGCCTGTAGGTTTGCCAAACGGGTTTACTGTTTCGCCAATTGGCGCTTTTCTGTACAGTTTTTTAAGTCCGTATCGCCTGTTTGGCGCTGCCGCTGCAAAAGTAATGTATCTAACAACAGAGAGAACGATATCGCTGTAATTATTTTCTAATAAAGATGCAAAAAATACCATTCATAGTTACACATTTTTCAGTCCGATGTAATATGGAACCCACATTATTTATTTGCTGTCATTATATCAGCAACAATTTTGATTGATTTTCATCTCTTTAATCAAATGCTCGTCAAAGCTCAAGTTCCATCCAATATTTCACTTATATTCAATTTTGATGGATTAAGGATTCTAATGTACAAAGCCCCTTTGGACTAAAAAAAAATGGGACAGTTCTATATCTCCTGTTCTACTGGACCGATTGACGAAATCCAACCTGCGTTTTCCATGTCTGGAAAGCGCGACTTAGGATATGTAATAGATATTTAGTTACGTTATTTTCTTCCTTCCTCTTCACGTTCGTTAGTACGGGGGTCGTGCGGATTTGGAGTGAATAACGACGACACTTGATGAAGTATCGAAACACACTTTATTTAGCCAATATTAATCAAGATAGCTGCAATAGCACGTTTACACAGTCGTCGAAGAACTACAATAAATACGCTGGAACAATCAACGACATAGCCTTCAGGTTATAAGGCTATAACGGTGGAGACAGCTTCACTGCAAAGCACCAGAGTACAGCTTCCGACTCTGCTTGGTCGTTCTCGGAACTCCACGTACTCTCGAGACTCTCCACGCTATAACTCGCGATGCACTGGACGACACACAGAGCACAGCTCCCGACCCTTCGGTTCAGTTGTTCCCGGATATCAACACACTCTCTCGACGATGCACTAACCGCGATATACGAAGAGACTCTTTCGATGCATTCGACAACCCACTCGGCCCTCGCTGCCCGGCTGTCAACTCGATCGACTCCATGGACTGACTAACTCGAGACACTAACTATCGCGCACTGACTCTCCGCGTACCAGCAGGGTTTATATAGTTTTTGGCTTGTGTTCGAGAATATTCTGGACTAAACTGGTAAGAATTCGTTTCAGAAGGTTCTCATCCGTCCATCGCCAATTTCGTCTCTAAATATCACCAAATTTGCGATTTTGCGCCAAATGTGGCAACCCTAAAACTGCTTTGCGGAGAAACTATCCTACCGCGCCTGGACATTTCATAACAGTGTATAGCATTGTCCTAATATAGATATTTTCACACAAAATCGGACTTTTTCTGAAATAACATACCAATTTTTTCCATATTTCAATTCTACGACTCAAATTACGCCAAACTACCAAGTTTTGTAAGAAATGTAGAAAGTTTTGTAAGAAATGCTTTGTTTGTAGGCATAGGTATTATCATTAAGTGTTGTAAGGCAATTTTGTGTTCAGAATTGTTAGGGTTATTAATTCAGTTTTGGAGAAATAGACCTGTTGTTGTTTTTGTGTTATTGTTTTTCGGGGTAGGTTATTTTTCTTTAATTTTCCATAATGGGTGAATTTATGAAGAAATTTACTAAAACTCTGCTATTGGAGTTAGCGGAGGAGTTTGAAACAAATGTGTCTCAGGCAAATAGAGTAAGAGAAATTAGGCAGCCTATTCTAAATGCCGAGGACTATGAAGAAGAAGCTGCGAAAGAATACGCGGCAAGAATTTGGGCTGCGGCTGAGCAGAGAAAAGCAGAAGAAATAGCCGAACAAGAGAGTGCGGAACGGGAGCGAGAGCGAATTTTTGAATTGGAAAGGTTAAAACTGATGAATGTGGTTCAGACTAATAACCTAGCTTCCACGGTTTCGAAAGTTGAACAATCTAGAGAAAAAAGGTTAATTTGAAAGATCTAGTACCGAGTTTTGAACCGCGTTTTGTACCGCGTTTTGAAGTTCTAGTACCGCGTTTTGAAGTTTTGTAAAAATCGCAAGAGTAGTTCTTAAAAAATTAGCTCCTCGATTTTAATTGAGTTTGGTATATATTTATTAATCTCTCTTTTTTTATTAAACGTATATGATTTTTCCTTTCACATTTCGAAATTCAGGTTCATTCCAAATAAAATTCACCCATTTTTTATGATCTATTTTTAAATAATATTTATAATTTTTTCAAAAAAAATTGAATTATAATCTATAAATTTTTTAGCATCATTTTAATGTAGACGTATTTATAAGCACACCTGCAAAAAATTTCGGTTGTTTATTCAAACTTTTCGAAGATATACGTGAATTTATATATTGGCGCGTTTTGAAATTTGGAATATTTGTTGCAAACGAAAAAACATCAAATGTGGCTTAGACACTTTGTTAAAATTATTTGAAAGTAGGAACAAAGTGACTTTTTATCCGCTCCCAGCATAATGGAAGGGAAAGAAAAATTGGTTGCCACATATTAAGGGATTCGCCAAATGAATTATTCTTGACGCAAACTGAAAAAATTGCGCCAAGATAGTCTCCCTAAATTTCGCACCAAATTTTACAAAATTTAATGTCTAGGCATAATTTGAGTCGTCGAATCGAAATATGGAAAAAAATTGGTATGTTTATTTCAGGAAAAGTCCGAATTTTTGTCAAAATACCTTTTTTAGAAGCTATATATAAATCTAATATATATCCTAAGTCGCACTTTCAAGACATGAAAAGCGCAATTTGAATTTTGTCAATCGGCCCAGTAGAACGGGAGATTCTTTTTTCCACACTGTCCCATTTTTTTTTTTTTTTTTAATCATTCCAAGACGATAACATCGCATACGTGTTTTCCAGGCTCAAAGTTTTGTAAATATGTATTTGCATAATTATTTCTGAAATCAAAGCGTAGTTAGAAATAATTTCAATCAAGTAAAAGAAAAGAGTTTTGTAAATTGATATTTAACAAGCAATTTCAATGTAGGTAACCTCATAAAGGTACTCATTTTCCTTTTTTTAATGTTTTTTTAGCTATGTTTTTTGTGATAAATACCAATACAGTTCCACAAAAGAGATTAATTAAGTAATGATATTTAATAGTTAATTATGGAAGTTTAAAATTATGTGAACTGATATGCGTAGCATTAATTTGCAACTCATTTTCAGTTTTCAAGTTCCCCTCTTACTTTTCCTGCAAAAATTTATTAGTTAATTTTAAAAATATGAAATATGAAGGTAAAAATATTACTCACTCTTTCTTGCGTTTACAAATTATTATGCGAATATACATTTATATCTTTTAAAGTATGAAAAACACATGTTCGCGATGTTATCGTCATGCGATAATTTGTAGGTGCTTTATTTTTACTACGATATTTTCCACAGATTTAAAACGGCGATTTTTTTAATTTTGCTTTTTTTCGACAACGATGTTTTTATACCACGCTGTTTCAGAACTTCTGTGTTTCCTCATTGCTTTCTTTTTGTCTACGATCTTCTGTACAGCAATATTTTTATCTTGTGTTATTTTCTCCGCTACATTTCTGTTCGCAGTGTTTCTGTCTATGTTTTGGCATCAAACTTATTAGGTTCACTTCAGATATGTAGAGAACAATACAATTGCAAATATACATGAAACAGTATAAATCAGTACTTTCCTATTTATTTTTTAATCTTCTAACGCCCTCAGCTTCTTAATAATAGGATATTTTCGTTACATTTGTATATAAGAACAAAAAATATCTCCCGAATATTGACACTTTTAAAGACTTTCTTTCATTGTTTATTAGTAGTAGGCTTTTTAGCATAACAAACTTTTCCTCTAATTTTTATAATTTATTTTATCGCATTTAACGGGAAAAATTATTAAAGATACATTAAAATCACACACTGAAATTTAACAAATTTAATACTGCATTTTACAATCGTTTAATACGTTTAGTTACTTTATTTTTAATGCTAATACACCTTAAATTTCCTGTATTATTTACATCTTATTGTTGTATAGCAGTGCTTTCCAAACATTTTGAGAGGCTTATGTGCATATAGTTGCGATTTATCACGATATATTTTAATACAGTTGCTTTAAAACGAAAAAGAATAAAAAGAGATTGCAAGAAAGAAAACAGTGTAATAATAAAGTAATAATAAGTACACCTGTGCAATTATTAATAATTATTTTATGATAGTAAATTAATTTGCAATTAGTGTAAGCACATATAATTATAATTATATAGTAAGAAAAGGAGTAGTCAAGACTTTACACGACTCACCTAAATTTGTCTTCCATCCTACACTTATACCCCCTGTATTGTTATGAAAAATCAATCATTTATTTTTTCTTACGGTAACCATTACCCAGAAAACGAACACCCTTACTGTCAAAAGTGCTTCATTACTTTTGCTGATTATTTTGAATTCTTATTTCGTTATGCATCCAAAATTATCGCTTCCTTTCGTGAAAAGAAGACACTTGTTGCTGTAAAATATATTTGCCACTTTTAACACTGGGTAAAATGTGACTTGATTGAAATTGGTGTAAAAAATTAAAATTTTAATTAACAACTAATTTATTTTGAAATGTATGTGCTGTTAATATGACATAGCCTTACGCGTATAAGCTTATGTAAAATAATTCAAATTTGAGAAAACTTGATTTCCTCAATAAGAAATAGTGATTTTTTATTGTAATGAAAGTATGATTTTAATGCTAATTTGTAAAATAATAAATTTTGCATGGCAGTTGAGAGTATATAATGATCTCGGAAGAGGTGTGCTCAGTAATGCTTGGGAAGGCTACAATTCCACTCTGTTTGCTTATGGTCAAACAAGTTCTGGAAAATCATGGTCGATAGTAGGATATGGAGTCAATAAAGGTAAAAGAGGATTTTTTTATATTTATGGAATTAAATTATGATGTACCTTTATTAATATGTAACCAAGAAAACTTATTTACTCGTTTTAAACTATAAATAACTAAAGCTATAATACTAAAACTATAACTAAAAGGGAGACTAATCACATTCTGTCTGGGCATTAATAATTCATTAAATACAACCATTGCTGTAATGAAATAGAATCACCTCCTCTTCTAAATTACAGAGAAAGAGTTAACTAGAATTTTTATACTTAATTCTGAATTGTGTTCTAGAAAGATAACTTTCTTATTCTCTTTTAAAATTCATATATTAGTATATTAGTAAACATGGCATACATTTTTATTACACATGAGCATTTTTATGTCCAAGATGGGGAAATAGATTTCGGAGGATACTTCCACTCGAGAACTACGATGCACATGAGTATACCTGACCATTTTTAAACATTTTATCGGTTAGAGCACATGCATTAGAGACGTAATGTCAGAAAACCTTTCCAACAATAATGTACTGAAAAGACTTTTCGTAGAATTTGTAAGACTGAGATTTACTATTAATGTTCTTTAATTACCTAACTAGAAGTTGTATTTCAAACAACAAACCGAGCAAATTAAGATCACAGGCTAATTATAAATATTTTCAAATATTTTACAAGCATTTATCTGCTGTCAAAATTGTAAAAATGAACAGCTAAATTAAATATATTTCTAATGTAAAGTCTATAAGATTTTTGAGCTAGGTATGTGAAAAATGCGCAATCCTCCCGCCGAGACTCGAACCTGGACCTCTCGAATACGCATCGAGTGCGCTACCGTTAAACAACGAAACATGAGACATGGAATCTAGTCTAGTCTGTACGGCTATTGCCGAAATGTCGCGGTACTGCGCAACTTATCCGGCTCTTGAAAAATAAGCCCGGAGGGCGCATGAAATTGATCATTCTTGACAGTTTGGTGAGGTGAAAGGTGGTTTACAGGGGGCGACCATGAGTCGCAGAGTCAGTGAGAGGCGAGAGCAGTGAGAAATTCACGAAACAAGAGCCATGAGGAAAGTGTGTGACATGTTTGTGTTGTTACATTAAAGAAGACACAGACAATATCCGACGATTTCTTTCAGGACATATGAAAAATAATACAAAACATACACGTGCGATATTGATAATAATAACTACAAATAACATGAAATTAAAGGATACAAAATATTGATACAAATACAATTGAGAACTCAAAATATATACACTATATATAAGAACTCTGCACGATTAGCATGATAATTTATGTAGGGAAATTTAACTCCCGGGCGAGGTGGGCCGCGAGTGGACGTAACGATGCGTCTTCCTCTAGAATTACATAATTCAAAACATTAAGGTCAGACTTGTGATTACATTCTTGAGCCTTTTTTCATGGAAGGAGAGAGAAAGTATCTTATATACTCCGAATTGGGAGTGTCCTGTTATGACCGTAAGACCAACTTGTTTGGTTAGGTGGGTCAGGCTGCGCTCACTTCTGGTGCCTTCTATACTCCCCCTTTTTAAAGGGGGGACTGGAGATTAGGGGACCCAATCACCAAATCCTGATGGGGACGAATCTACCATCCTTTAGTTCACCTTTTAGTTAGACGAGTCCACCACCTCTTAGTTTAGGTTCTGTTGTAGAATCATTAAGTTTTTTTGAAGCAAGGAACGTGAAAAATGTGCAGTGCCCTCGCTGGTACTCGAACCTGGACCTCTCGAATACGTGCCGAGTGTGCTACCGTCACACCATGAAGGCATGCCGGAAAGAGGCAAAAAATACCTTATACTGCTTAATACATTCTTTTAAATATTAAGTATGATATTCTAATAGATAAGTGTAAATATTAAATTACTGCTTCTAGTGTAACTCGCTGTTCTACTTATGCACTTAAAGGATATGCTTGTGTAATTCACTACCATAACATATTGCCATACTTTACTTTAAGAAACTGCCAGTCAATATTTCAAAAAACAGGATTTCTTTAATCTATAGAATAGCTGATACTTGTGGCATGAAGAAAACATCAGATGTCTAAAGCAAATATGCGCAATTATTTAGATTAATTCCTTTGCATTTTCGAATAGATGAACAGATAATAGCCTAAATAACTAGTTTATACAATAGCGAGGAATGCAATCAGGTGCATAGTATATAGTGTAAAATTGAAATCATTCAAAAACTTTATACCTTCTTATGAAGGCAGTTTTTCAGAAGTTCCAGATTAAAGTCTATCTCAGTTTAAAGTATATGTCGATTAGCTTCTACATAGAGAATTGATAATTTTTTGTAATTATAAGTGGTAATTGAAAGTCAACTAATAATTGAATTATAAAATGAGCTATAATAAATAAAGTAAGCTGTTTATTTTCAGGAATCGTGCCAATGTTTTGTGAAGATTTATTTACAGGAATTGCTGACAGTAAAGCTGCTGGAGAAAGGATAGAATTCGAGGTAATATATGCTTCTTTTAAAGATAATCTGCTTGCGTTAGAATTCTGAGAAAACTCTTGAATTCCTTTGTAAGATATATATATATATATATAGTTACCTAATCAGAGTTAAATAAAACATGATTACTCCGTTTTAGAGTGTAATAAAGCTTTCTTTACACGTATGTGCTTTCAGCTATGTAATAAGCTATTGGAAGTGTAGGAAATAGTGTCAGAATCAAAAAGCTAATTCATTCTTGAATTTGAGAGGTAACGTTAGTAATTTTTATTTTATAAAATTTATTTTTAATCTCGAAATCATTTTCGTGTAGAAATCATATTAGAAAAAAAGAGTTTTGAAAGCAGCTGAGTGGCAAGAAGATGTATATGAATCTTAAATTTTGTTATAATTTAAAATCACAACACATGATTTACAATATAGCTATCACCAGAGGCATAGTAAACAGTAAGACGAGCCAAACATTATACTGATAGAAAATATTAAATCATTTTCTTAAGCATTTGAAATATTGCGTTAAGGTCAGAAAAACTTGTAGGTAGCGTAGCTTGTAATGTAGCGTAGCGAACTGAGAGTTATAGTTTTCACGTTATCACTTTAAGTGCGCATTAACAACACTCACTCGTAAATGAATCATAAATAGCTCTTTTAAGTAATTATGATTTAAATGTCACTCTTGTTTTTGAAGTCGATTTGTTCATTAGGTATATCTGGAGTTTCATTTCCTAAAAACCTAAATAATATAACCTGTATTAAATCTTAAATATCTGTATTGCATTTCTTAAAATAAATCGATAAAAAATAGTTTCACAAAACCCTAGTAACTGTTAGTTCACTTAGAATTAGAGGTATTGATATCTGCTTTGCTTATGTGCGTGCTCATCATGGTTTCTACGGAAATGAAAGAGCTGATTTCTTAGCTAAAGATGCCTTAAATTTACCCATTGATATCAACATTAGCATTCCAAAGAGTTATTGGAAGTCCTTTCATTATTAAAAGCTTTTAGCTATGTGGAATGAGGAATACATTTCATCTTGTAATGCGGAAGTCACCAAAAAGTTCCTTCCTTCTATTTACCATAGACTGAATTCCGAGTCTTTCCTCTCGTTAAATTTTAAAGTGTCTCAGTTTTATCTGGTCACGGTAAATTTGCAAGTTATCTGTTTCGTTTTAATCTACGATCAAACAATTTATGTGAATGTTCAAAAGAGTCTCCAGGATGTGGAACATTTGAGTTTCTCGTGCCCTACATTTGATGGCCCTAGATTATGCTTACAGAACGATTTGAAATGTTCGGAGTGACTTGGCCAGTGAACTTATCTGTTCTCGTGAAGTCCAGACTGCTGTTCTCTGCTTTTGTTCGCTTTATTTATGCATGTTTTTTAATGTTTATTTATACATGTAACCTTTAATGTTCTAGTTAACTTACTTCTGTAAGCCCCGTGTTGTACATATGTGGTGCACGGGGGGGGGAGTTTGTATGTTTCTCAAAGGAAATATATATATATATATATATATATATATATATATTCATGATATATTCATTACTTTGGAATTTCCAAACAAGTATTTTATTTACAAAAGTAGAAACAAATGAGGAGAAAATGGTAATTTAAAATAGTTTCAGTTGTCGTTTCCTCCAATATGGTTTCAATATATGTTTCCAAATCGTAGTATGATTTAAGGCCTTTGCAATTAGTTTTTGCAGTCTTTTGTCGTGTCCATAGAACGTTTTCTTCCATCTATACATTGTACACCTTAAAGATATTCGATTTCCTTCAAGTAATTTTTCTAATGATGCACCAAGACCAATTTATTCAAGTAATCAGTCTTAAGCAGTTTTTAGCAAACATTTTGAAATGCATCAAACGGAATGTAAAGTTGTGTAGAGATTAGGAAACTGGACAATACCTGTTAACCACAGTAAGTCAGACATCTTCATGTGCGTTTTGCTGTGACCTGCAGCTAAAAAGAAACGGATTTGTGGCATACTGAAGGAAATTTGTATTCCTGACACCCTTTCTTTTGTGTCCCCCTTTATTCGAATAAGATGAAAGCGATTAACATGTAACCGTCAGAATAGCAATTAAAGCCAACAATAATGGGTACGTGCTTCCTTTAATGATGAAATGTAATTCACTTTTCTCGACTTTCATTAATTCAAAGTAAAAGAGAAAGGCGTCACGTGACATCTAACATTTTATCCATCCCATCTGCCTTTCTACATGGTGTAGTATTGTAAAAGATGACTAAAGATTTTAGCTCCTTAAATGCTGAATGATGTATCTTTTCAATTACAGATTTTCTTAAAGGAAGATAGACAACTATTAAAAGATTTTCAGTAAGTGTAGATGGATTAGAAATACTCTAAATTAAATCTAGCATTTTGTAAGATCTCCTTAAAATAAAATTTACAATTACTTTAAAATTAATTATGTTTCAATGAATTAAAAACGTTGACTATATTTTATATGTAAAATTAGCAGATGTTCGAAAACTGATTCATAACATATGCCATTTTAATTAGCTTAAAATTAAGAGCTTTTAGAACAAATTTAGAAACCAACTAAAAGAAAAAAGGCATTAGTTTGGGGTTGCGACTATAGCGTGTTGAATTAAACAATATTGTTTTGTAAAATCTTCAGACTATAGTTGAATGTATTTATCACTAAAAGTCATTGGAAACATATATCTTGTAAGGATCTTAAGTTTTACTAACGTTTATTTTATTTTAAATCTTTACTATCACTTCTTATTTTCTACTTCCGTCCAGAATTAAAAGCTTTAACGTATTTATGCAAATTTGTCTGGCGAACGCCAAGTACTTAAGTTGTGGCTTTTTGCCAAGCGAGAGAGAGGAAGGAGTTAGTCGAAGCAGGCCGCTTGCCTTAGCAGTTTTTACTCGGTTGCTGGTTGCCTTCCAGGCCAGAGGTTGTAATCCTCTTGATAATTTTAAACGTATTGTAGTGTTAACAGTTCTCTGTACTACATACGGCTTCCTGTTAATATACGGCCAATCTTCCACGTAGGCCCTTGTTTATTATTCCAAAGTTAAGTTAGAGTTTAGTTAATATTTTTATATTCTTACGTTCAGACCACAAGTAGTTGGTCTCTGTATTCCCAAGTACGGAAATTATTGTAAAGAGTGAAAAATAAAGGATTTCGTATACCCTTCCTGTGTATCTTGTCTACTTCCCACATTTATTGGACATAGCTTTAGTAAGCTCCCTGTTCCGAGTCAGGTCTTTGTATGTTCCCCAAGCAAGTAAGGCGGAACACTGAACCTGATAATCTAAGATTAATATTTATGTAAATAAATAAAACACATCACTTCCTTTAAGAAGAATCTGATTGTAGAGGTCAGTTAAATGTTTATATTTAAATTTGCAAAACAGGTCAAATCATGTTTAAAGAATGGCTAGTGCATCGAATATTTATATTTCCGATTATGAGTCGATCGTTGTACAGTTCAAAAAGTAAGCTTTAGCTGTAAACATTCAGCCGAAACTGAAAACCTGCGTATCAGCCAAATTTAAAATCGCTAAAATAAATAATCGTCTATTTTTCTTATACCTATCACAAAAGCTAAAAGTAAGTACAAATTCATCTTCGATTTTTATTCAAAAACTAGCCGTGGTATCACCCTAAAAAAGAAAAGGTACTTTTTCTAACTAATAAAGGCTTCTCTTTATTATTTCTTCTAACCTAGAGGCATTTTCTCAGTTTGGTAACCATTTTTAAAATTAAAAAGATCTTTACTCTTAAACTGCGGTTATGTCTTTTCCGAGTAATGTACGGTTCATTTATGTTAAACAATGAAATCACGGCTCATATTAAAGCAATAATTTTAAAACATCTCGGCTCATGGTAAAGCATCAATATCCATTCGTATCTAAAGGTCACTCATCATCCTAAATATTAACAACTGAAACTATTTCCTTTATAGGAATTAATGTACAACAAATAATCTTGTAATAATTATTGCTATATAATTAGCACGCATAGTTGCTCGTTTAGATTTAAAATAATACCGTGTGCATAGGTTCATAATGCGAAATCAATGAAAATCATCATATCTAAGACAAAAAAGATAAACATAAAAATTAAAATCTGAAAGGTTTCAGATTTTTAATTACGTAAAAAGGGGCGTTTTTTAACGTTTTGTGTGTTGCCTTTAATTATTAAATATCGTGTTCTTTGCACTTAAACTATAAAATTCAGTTCAACAACTATGTCGCAAAATAATTTTAAAATAAGTATATCCTTAGAATTCCCGATACACAGTTCCGCGCGCTGGAGATAATTTTTTTTTTTTTTTTTTTTTTCCTCCGTAGAGTGTTGCTGAGTTTGTTAGTCAAAAATTCTTTAAAGTTTTACAAAATATGAAATCGATAATAAAACGAATACCAGATTTCAAATTTGGGCTTTCAGATGGCCATATTCGCAGTAGGATTACGTCATTCAAAATTGGATGGCTCTAGGTACCGTTGTTTTTTATCGCAATGCGAGAAACATACATACATTTATGCAGATTATTCATTATATAATTTCTTCAAATATAATACAGGGCGATAGTATTTGGTGGCAACGATTTGAAAAGTGATACACCGTTTATAGTGTTCCGACGCAAAATTGCAAAACAAAAACAATAGTCCTTCAGGGACAAAGCCCCTTTAGGCTAATAAATAAGAAATAAGTTTCCCTCCCGACTTTCAAAATTTCTTTCTACAACACAATGTTGTCATAGTTTCCTATAGGCCGAATTCTTGGCCCTATAAATCACTTGTTGCCAAACTTTGTTAATGACTGAGTAACGGAAAATAATTTTAAAAAAAATGCTTTCCGAAATTCTTGAATTCTGTGTAATGAGCTACTTTAAAACTTCTTCGAAAATCATATGGGTTTGATTATTATTAACCAGAGACACCCTAAATATTTTTTGTTCAGATAATTTGTTCGTGAACCAATCTGTTCGGAAATTCGTAATGCAAAGATGAAAGATGCCTGCACAGAAGAAAAAAAGTGAAAGCTATTTATTAATCGGTGAAATGCAGGGTAATGATTCTCGTACTTGCTTTAAACAAAGACTTCAGATAATTGCTAGAAAATCCTGAATCGGATACCGATGATAATGAGTTTCATTAATATATCTATTAGTGTTAAATAAAATAAAAATAATATTTTATTTATTTAGGCTATAAAGTCATTTTTGTGATCGAAATATTTGTGAATCATTCTGAACTTGTACTTGACAGAATCTCAGCTTTAGCATAAAAATATACTAAAAATTTTCGGCTTACGTACGAAAATATACGGCAAATGTTTTCTGCTTAATAAGACTAAAGGCAGAAATACTAGGCCATCGAAAACATGATTTACAAAATGTCATGAGTGGGGCTGGGTAAGATACGCAATGATTATATTCTTAAATGTTAGGAAAGAGGAGGTACTATGTAACATTGAGTATAGAGATGATATAAGCTTGTAATCATGTAATAATAAATTCATACATAAAACACAGAACGCTGAATGTTAAAGCAATAATAATACACATAGAACTTTTACTTTTGAAACAGCATTATCTTCTGTTATCTTATATTTCATCCACTTTATTTCATTTCACATAAAATGCAGTTTTAATCCTGATTTTGACATAAGAATATTGAACGTTTTAAAAACAACATTCCAGATAGAACAGAAATGAAATATTCCCATACTATGGGTATAAATTTGGATTGGGGACATACAGAAAATTTTGTTTTAGCGGTACGATTATTGACAAATTAAAAAATTATAGCCTAATTCATTTAGTATTTAAAATACATTACATTTATTTTGACAAGCATTAATATTTATGCTTACTCCCAAAATTACATTTGAGATACTTGTTTTTGCGTGCTTGGATGTCTGTAATTTTAATTTTACTATAAATTAACTTAGCATACCTAATCCATCAACAGCATTATTATCCGTAATAAATGTTTATTTCGCCATGAATAATAAAACAGCTCAAATTTTTAATTCCTTCTCCCACTGTAGTTTTCTTAATTGTGTAATACAATTTTTTTTCATATAATTTAGTATTAGGAAAGCTTCATCAATCAATACTCAGTTCAGTATTTTTCTTTCATTAAATTTCTATGTAAATATGTAAATTAATATTCTTTTTCATATAAATGAAGCCTTGAAATTTTTATCTTATTTCCCTTAGGTTCGCTTCAGTATGTTGGAAATATATAATGAGATAGTAAGAGACCTTCTAAATCTAACATGTACGAAAAAACGAGGCCTGAAAGTACGGGAACATCCAACAAAGGGCTTTTTTGGTAATGTTTTCACCCTTCTTATTCCTCCTACCGTAAATTAAGTAATTGCAGTAGGTTTTCGCAGATTTCTTAATAAATTTGATGCAACAAAACAATTAATTACGACACAAATACTATTTTTTTAATAATTTACTTGTGGCAACCTTTTCTCGTAATCTGCTATAAGATATATCTCACATCTTCTTGGCGTGCCTTTGTGGTGTAGTGGTTCTGCAAGCTGGGCCGGTATTCCAGAGGTTCGTGGTTCGATTCCCGGCGAAGGCGGATATTAATTTTTCATTCTGCCTGCTTCTAAAAATCCTAATGTTTCTACACTGGCGCCCGAAAATAAAAAGGGTGTTGGATGATGATTCTCCACACCCAGGATTTGGCGATTGGGTCCCCTAAAAACCCTAATCGCCCTTTAAAAAGGGGAGTATGTGAGGTATTTCTCCCGCCTTCCTAGCGTGCCTTCGTGGTGTAGTGGTTCTGCATGATAGGCCGGTATTCCAGAGGTCCCTGGTTCGATTCCCGCCGAAGACTATTGCTCATTTTTCATCTTGCCTGCTTCTAAAAAATACCTAATGTATCTACACTCCAAACTACACCTTTATTTCCAGGGAAAAAATTATTTGTTTTTTTCAAAGTAAAATATTTTCTCCTCTGTTTTTGTGTTATTTTCCATAGTTTGTCTTTATCTTTAGTCGACGATTTTAATAATCCGAAAGCACAGTCGTTCATCGGTGTCATACTTTTTAGGGAGATGTAAAAAATGAGCAATGCCCAAGCCAGGACTCGAACCTGGGCCTCTCGAGTGTGTTACCGTTGTACCGCGAAGGCATGAAGAAAGGAGTGAGAAAATACCTAATGTAATCCCCATTTTAAAGGTAATTGGGAATTAGGGGACCCAATAGCCAGATTCTGGTGGTGAAGAATCAACATCCATCGCTTTTTAATTCGAGCGTCTCTGTAGAGTCATTAGGATTTTGAAACAGGAGACGTGAAAGATACGCAATACCCTCGAAACCTGCAACTCCCGAATACTCGCAAATTGTGCTGCCGTTACACCACTAAGGCATGCAGAAAGGCGGGAGAAAATATTATAGTGTGACTCGGAGTTTGTTTCGGTGAAATTAAAATTATTTTATTTTATGTAGATAAGGAACTGAGATTTCCTTTTACTTTCTTGTACAAAGTAAAGGAAGTATTTTCATTGCGAAAACATTACGGTTATCATACTTTAAAGAAAATATTCCATTTTGACCGCTGACGAACCCATTTTAACGATGTTTTGTGTGACATCTGCACATACTGTTATATAGATTATTTCACGTGAGAGGATCGAATAAACACAAAAAAAAATAACTTATCTGTTAAAGACATCTTGAAGTGGAGGACTCGTATCTTAATAAGCGTTGACGTCGGCCGGGCTCATCTTTACACTGGTACGTTATTTTACCACTGTAGAACAGAAACAGGAGCACTGCTGCCCAGGACGGCTATCCGCTTGGTCTTGAAAGTCTAAGGTCAACACGCAGGTAACTCGTTCAAATTTTGCCTCTTTACCAGAACGCGGCAGGGAGCGTGTTTGCCAGCTTCCGGCCAGAAACGTTTTTCTAGGCAATTACGGCTCGCCTGTTCTTACTCATCCCAAGAGCAAGCTTCACGAGTAACGTCCAAAGAAGTTCCCCCGCCAGTCAGTAAGTCTCGCCTCTTAACCAAAACGCGGCAGGGAAGCATATTTGCCGCTCCTCGCCTGGGAAAATCTCTCTCGTCGTGAATTACATCTTGCCTCTCTCTTCAAGCCGTTTTCAAGAGTAACCTCCAAAAGTCCAGCAAGCCGTAAGTAAGAGTGAATCCAACTCGAATTCCTCGTCTCCTTCACAAACGCGGGCTCCACTATGGCTTCACTTATCGCCCTTAATTTTGGCAAAATTTCGTTTTCACCCCGAATGCGGAAATAAGGGTGATCGCGCATGCGCGCCCTTCTCACTTAGCCAACAACCGGACCCTCATCGCCAAAAAAACCTGAATGACTTACATTGAAAGACAGTAGCAACCTTGACCTTTTTGTCACGTACTTCCCTCTTTAAGGTCAACTCCAACATGAAAAATCCTTCTAGACATTCTAAAGGACAAGCGCGCGAAATCTGACTTGGCAAAAATTGCCTCCCTTCCTGCTTCTTTCACAATGATCAAAGCTTGTACAAATTGCAAAAAAAGAAAATAAATAATATTCTTTTAAACTAAATAATATTCCCAGAAGCATCTGTTTTTCCCAAAAATTAAAGCCCTTAAAATAAATAATTCAGAATCAAAATAAAATTAAAATTTCCATAAATCAGAAAATCATTCACCTAGTTTTTATACCGCTATCAGACAAATTCTCTACACAACAATACTCACTCTTTGGTTGCAATCGGCCACATTAAATGACCTGAAATTTTTCGAGATTGCAATACTTCCATTACTTCGCACAAGAAAGTAAAAATAATTAACAATGAAGAATTTTACAACTTTTTACAAGTCTACAATTTTTTTTTTCTTTTTTACTATAGCTGAAGGACTAAGCACAACTCTAGTCACCAGTTACAAAGATATAGAAACACAGTTAGATCTAGGCACAACGAATAGGAGTATTGCTTCCACAAATATGAATGCTACAAGCAGGTAAAACAGTCTTATATTTTTACAGCATTTTAAACATCGTTTCAACATTTGCAGTCATTGTTGAAGATTTGAAAACTTTCAAGGATAAAAACTAATATGGCAGAGACATGATTATGCATTGAATCTGAGAACTACTTACTAAAAAGTTTATAATGGTAAAATCCACTTATATATAATTTAGGAAGCAGCGTAAAGGAATAAAATTACTTTAAAGTTCATCTATCTTACATTTAATTTATATTTAACTTTAAAAACGAATATAAGGTGATTTTTAACTGAATTTATAACTAAGAGACAAATGGCGTACCATTCCTTTAAATAACTTTTATTACGTAGTCGGAATTGAATTAAATGCATGTATTTTTAGAGCTTTCCAAGTTTTCTTCCTTGTATAAAATATTTATCATTCTTTGACTATTTTAACGCTATTTAGGTATGTTGATAATTGGATCCTAAACAAATTATCATAAAATTCTTTCCGTGATAATATATTGTTCTAATGCTAAACTTTTGGAAAATTCCATTCTGATACAATATGGATTATCCTGCGTATCCTTGAAAGTTGTAATGTAATCAGCAGTTACTTAATCGTAACTCAGCAGAATAATCTACATAGCAAAAGATAAAAGTGTTAAGCCTACAAAAATTGCAATCAAGGGATTACCGACTAAGTGCACAACAGAAGAAATCAACTCTGAACTCACTGATCTAAATTTTAAGATCTTGAAAGTCACGCAACTATAAAACTAAATCCCTGATTCCTAAATTTTAGGTACAACTTCTTACCACCCTAATGTCAATTACATAACATATGTTACCGTGAAAGACCGAAATTGGAGAATGTCGACTTTCACCGGAGAATGTCAACATTCACCAAATACGTCGGTGAAAGATCGAATATTGCATTACATTCTTGTACATTCGGACCCTCACCGGTGTATGTCGACAATCACAGATATGTGCTCTGGTGTAGGTCGAAAAGAGAGGAGTATATGTACACGCTGTCATTGCAAAAGGAAGTGTTCCACAAATAAATGCAGTTGTAAAAGCAAGGGCCTCTTGTGCAATTGAAAGTGTCCTAATAGTTTAAGTTGTTGCAATAAATAAGATTTGAATCACGTAATTTAGTAAGTTTATAACTTTCTTATTTTGAATTTACAGTGTTCATCCTTAGTTTTCCTTTCTTATTTTGAATTTACAGTGTGTTTTAAGTTCTTATATTCTTAAGTTCTTATTCTGAGCCTCAAGTGCATTTTTTCGCGAATGAATTACGGAGAAGGAAATATAATATTCTTATATGTTCAACATTCACCATTAGTACATGGTGAAAGTTGACATTCACCGGTGTCAGTCAGAAATAAGAGTATTTGGAAAATATTTCGGACATACACCGAGCGACTATGTGAATGTTGACATTCACCGTTGAAAGTCGACATTCTCCAGATTTTGGTGTTTCACCGTAACATATATACAACTGATAGGTTATTTACTGCCAAAGTATAGGGCATATATCTAAAACTGTAGACTGTCACCATACCGCGTGAAATGTGCAAAATCCCATACCTCAAACAAATGTGAGCTAAAACACATTGAAAACCAACCTACTATAATTGCTCTAGTAATCACGTAAATTCCTAATCGTGGATGTGAACATTTCAGAAAATTTAGGGAAAAGGGGCTCCTATTCACGTTACTCTTAAAAAAATACCATGAAAAATACCCAAGCACTCAGTTTGTTCACGTAAGTTCGAAACCGGGCCGAACTACTAGTATTCAGCTGTCTTAAACAGACGGACGCTTGTTGCGCCTGCTTGGAAACAGGAAAGAGCTTACCAGTAAATCTAGATCTTCTGTAAGATTTCGAAGGTGATGGATTACAACAGTCTTGAATCTTGCTATGATTTTAGTAAGTAGCTGAGTCGCTTATTCTATAGAGATTTGTACCAAGCATTTTACTGTCTGCTCACAGATACTTATAATTTTCATATTACAAAAACACAGGTACTTCATATATTCATTCCGCTTAGCAGTTGTAAAGTTTGCATTTAGTAATATTGTTTGCATATGTACAGGGTAACCAGACTGTCCCTTTACACGTGCAATCACTTCATTGTAACTTTAATAACACTTTCAGTTATTTGTTTAAAACGTCCATATGTTCACCACATTATCCCTGCACAGCTTGATTTGCCTGAAAGTCCTCCTTTTCATGTGCTTTAGCAGCTGAGTTGTCACATGCTGGAAGCACATTTGCCCACACAGCATCATGCCCACGTACCGCTTCTTCCTGAGATACGATTTGATTGTTTTCTATAGAGCACTGCCTGGTGTTATAAGTTCCGGACTTCAAAGTGGCCAATGATAAGGAACTAGTTGAATTTGAGAATCCGCGTCCTATCCTCCAGCCAGGGAACAATTCATTCAGGCGTTTACGAACAGCAAGTGCTAAGAGGGCGGAAGCTTCACTGCGTTCGTAAATAACCGTGCCATTGATTCCCAAATTCTGCAGCTGTGGAAGAAGCCAGTCATTCAACATCTCCAGATAAGTAGCCTGGTTAACGGAAGCCTCAGAGAAGGACAGATGAAAGATGGGTTCTTCAGTCATTCCCGCTCAGACCTTGCTTCTAAACGTGATTCAAATCTGATGACTTGGTATCTCCTCATCGAACCATTATCATGTCATAGTTTCAGTGCTGTCCTTCCGGTCATGGACCGACACAATTTTGTCACTGAGCGCTCCTCCTTAGTAAAGTCACAGGCATCTGCCGTTGTGCTTCACCAGTGACAGCGACAATGTCTTCCACAGAGACAATCACCTGGTCAAAGCACAGACTTTATTCTCCTCTCTGGGAAAAAGCGCGGCAGTCACCCGGTAATAACTTTGAAATTCACGTGATGAACACTGTAACCATATCAATGATCAGGATGGGAGACTCAAATCTTAAATATCTATCCATAAAAATCCATGTTACACTGTTACATGCATTTACACTCATGTCCATAAATTAAGGATAATGCAAAATCAGGCAAAGGAAGAGTTAGAAGCAAACCAAATTTGACTTATTTGTAAAGCTTATTTATTAAACAAAAGGTAAAGAGCAAAAACGATGCTATATGTTTGATATTATTAAAAAAATTAGCGATTTTTTCTCCCTGGAGCAAATTACAAAAAAAAACCTATTTACAAAAAACCAATATTACATGGTTGGTATTATTGTTAATACATTGTACGTCTCCCAGACGATGCAATACAGTCCGTACAACGTCTAGGCAGGCTGAGTATCAAATTATCGATCTTATTTTGGGGGATATTACACCACTCAGAAAGCAATGTTCTCCATCAATGCTCTCCGAAGTTCCGGTAGACATGTAGGAGGAGGTTGACGAGCTGCAACTCGTCGTCCAAGCATGTCCCACACGGGCTCTACTAGATTCAAGTAGGGTGAGAATACTGGCCAGTCCATACGGGTGATATCCCCCGATTGAAGGCATTCGCTTACGATGTTTGCATGTGAGGACGGGCGTAGTCATCCATAAACACAAATTGTGCGCCCATGGCGCCCCGAAACAAACGTACATGTTCTTTCAGAATGACGTTCCGATAGATTTGGCTTTTCGTGGTTCCAATTTGAACATGCAAGGTCAGTTCCCTGGAACCCAGAATAATTCCACCCCAAACGAGCACTCCTGCACCACCGTAACGGTGTCGTTCAATGATGTTTTCTTGGTGGTAAACGGGTACCTGGAGCTCTCCATATGAAAGTCCGGCGAGAATCAGACTGCAAGCTAAACCTGGACTCGTCGGAAAACATCACACAAGCCCACTGTTGCGGTGTCCACAATGCATGCTCTCTACTCCAGGCTAACCGCAGGCGACAGTGAGTTGCAGTAAGTGGAACGCATCTGACAGGTCTACGAGCATATAGACCAATCTGCCCTAAGCGTCTGTACACGGTCTGCCTTGAAATTGTCGTACCAGCTGGCGAGACAGGTCTGAGGATGTGCTCCGCCTGTTTCTTTTGGCAGTAACTGCCAAATATCAGTCTTCATTCCGCGTTGTAACTCTGGGGCGACCTGTGCTGTAACGTCTGCTCACATTACCATCATCTTGGAATCGTTGCCAAAGCCTGGAGATGACACTCTGGGCAATTTCAAGTTCGTTTTTATACTTCCACTTGGGTACGCCCACATTCCAGACGGCCGATAATTCTACCACGTAAAAAATCATCCAAATGCGTCCTTTGTGTCATAACTATTCAGTTATTGCACTGAAATGCTTATAAAGCGCCTGCGAACAATTTTACTTCTTTGCCTGTATTCCTTATATATCACTTTCTTACACTCTTGTCAATGTGACGTACCATCGGTGTCATGTGGTTACTTCCTGAAATTTTCATATGATTTTTGAAGATATGTGTAGTGATTTTACAGGTGATATATTTATTTTAGAGTTCGATTTCCGAGTGACTCCGAATTATCTTTAATTTATGGACATGAGTGTAGTTCAGGTGTAAAAGGACTTCCTAGCCCACTTTTAGAAAATAATGCTTGCGACATTACGATTGCTACCAACAGACATTATAAAATAAAATTAATTCATGTTTTATTTCAAAATTTAAATATTTTTAACAAAACACAAGATTTGCTGCATAATTCACCTCTATTTTTTATCAGTTTTTATAAACTTTGCAAAATTTCTATAAATTCTACTTTCTGAGACTTTTCTTGCTACATTAGATTTAAGAGGACTCAAATCACGAACGATATTCTACGAAAGTGTGAAATCCTTCTTGTTTCCTCAGTTCTGAGCGAATCGAAACCAAGACTGCTCTCCTATTTCTAACATTTATGGAAACTTATTTGTGCTGGTAAACATGAAAATTTCTTAATTTCCTACTTTCTCAATATGTTACATTTTCAGAAAGACACAGGACAAGCATACATGAAGTGAATCAAATTTTATATTATAAAAATTTATAGATGTTTTTATTGCATACTTTATGTTTGTTTTTACAGTTACCTTTCAACTAAAATTTTATTTAACGCTTATACATTGCTTTGTTGATTTTCTAAATTTTTTATAAGTTTGATGTTTCGAATTTTCTTTGTATGGTTTCTGACCGACAGCTGCCGATAATTTTATATTCAGTTTACGCATTTTGATGCTACTCTTTATTATTATAATTTTAAATTATAGAGTAATAATATACATTTAAGTAAGATTTATTGTATTTTAAAATTGAACACAAAATTATGGCGATTTGACGTAAACAGAAAAAAAAATAATATTTATTTAACAATAATATATGAGTTCACTTCGAGTACTAAAAGAGCAGAGTAAAAGATAATTCCCTTTACTAAAATTTCCAAATATATAATATAATAATAATATTTATAATATATACTTTTTATATATACTTTTTATAATGCCATTTATACAAACATTTTGACCCTCTTTGTTAAACCACCGGTATCATTGAAATTTATAGAGATAATTTAAACTTAAAAACTGGAATTAATAAAACTCAGAAAACAGATACAATTATCAGGGATATTTTTAGATGGAACATTGAATATGTAAGTATCATATTTTTCGTTCCAACTCGATTTTCTTAAATTCTTTTGCTCTTACATATTTTTTACATGTTTCAAGATAATGAAGATTTTTAGAAAGCATTTTATTTTCTTTTCAGCCGTGCCCATACAATTGTAGGAATTACATTAGTCCAAAAATCAAGAAACATAAAAGGACAGGAAACAGCCAAGACTTCTGTTGTGAACCTTGTAGATTTAGCTGGCAGGTGAGTGGAAAGTTTGTAGGGTTTATATTTATTTTAACTAACATTTATTTTAAGCTATCTTTCCTGTCAAGCCTTTACTTTCCTCTGGAATTGCCAGTGCCAGAGTATGTAAATTTTAGTAGAACGCGCAGAGTATTCAAATTTTTTAGCAGAAGTAATTTGAGTTAAATAAGGAAACGAGTTTGTAGGTGTGCTTCTTGATTCACGAGCGTGAAGGTTGCTTGGTAGAAGTTTAAGAACCGCGCGTTTCGGCCTGTGTGCCTACTTCGGCAGTTAGTTGAATCTTTCAACTTCTTATTCAAAAAGTTTGCTCAAATATCAGCTGTATCTTAGAACGCGGTTAAGTTAGTCACGTTTATAGAGCCTCGTAGGTAGTGACCTTGTTATTTATTCATCCTAATTATTTATTTTTAGTTGTACTTTCTTATTTTTATTTAACCGCCGGGTCGGCGTAGTTTGTGAGCGTCAAGTGAACGCATCTGTAACTTCTAAAGTGGAATAAAAAGGGAGTTAATTCCTAAGAGTTTGTGTAATTCCAGTTCATAGCAGTCACTACTACGGTTGCGGGCAAGTTGGGGCCACGCTACATCACAAGTTAATGCTTAGAAAATGGAGAAAATTTTTAGCCTTTTGAATACAATACTTCTATGCTTTTCTAAGATAGTTATACCATATATATTACATAAAAAAGGAACTGGAAAAGCAGTGACATGTAACAGGCATAATTTAAGTAAATTAGAATAATGGTTCCGGAATTCTTCTGAAATTAATTTAACAATATTACTGAAAGTTCCACTTTTATTTATATTGTTTATATGTGTTTTTTCTATATGACAAACTGATCTTAATGTTACCAAATTGATCTTTTAAGTAATAGGTTAATTCGTTGTTTAATTATTGTAGCGAACGAGCCTCTGCAACTGGTGCAACAGGTGACAGATTGAAAGAAAGTGCAGCGATCAACCAATCACTTTCTTGCCTTGGAAACTGTATACATTCGTTGGCCGAAAGGGCTACCGGACGTAATATCAGGGGTAGGTATAAGACCAAATTTTCTGCAAAAAAATATCAGTTTTCTTTTCCCATCTTTATTTTTAAAGCATATGAAATTTAAAATCACAGACATAACGAGTTTAGCAATCCACCGCTGGTCATTTTCACTTCCTTGTACGAAATAAAGGAAGCATTCCTCGGAGCCAGCACAAGCCGGACGTATGATCAAAAAATGGGACTGGCCAGAAGAAAACAAATATAAGCAAAAACATATAAAGTCCAAAATCTCAGTCTCAGTGCCGAATTTCAATTCTGTCTTATTTTTGTATTTATAATCTCCATTATTGTCTCTGCAAAATCTTTGAAATTTGAAAAGTTCCTTTTAAAATCTTCCTAAGACTAGAAACAACATATAAGATTTTTGGCTTAAACTTGTAAACCGGAAGTGATACTTTACTTGAAACTCTGAGCAGACTGTCGAAAAAAATATACATTATGAGATAATTCAAAACTTCTCAGATTTAGAATTTTTTCTCAAATCTATTTGATTCCAGATGAGTTATATACCGTATACCCTCCCACCCTTCCAGGATTCTCATTCTTTAACCTTAGAATGGCCATTACGAATGATTATTTACGTTTTCAAGAACTCCTTTTCGGTTTTTGAAATCATTATCATTTGAAGTTTTGCTGCATTGCATTCTGTTATCCAATACACATTGTGTTTCTGCAGTTGTTCTTAATAAACTTTTTTTTTTTTTTTTTTTTTTTTTTTTTTTTTTTTTGGTTTCTGGTTTAGTTTATTTTAGTTACAGAAAGACATGAGGATTATCTTCCTAAGGCAAGGGATCCATGTTAAGAAAAACAGGCTCTCATTCAGGTTACACGTGTAAAAAACAATGAAACTTCCATACAGATTGTTCGTTCGCCGGGAAACCGGTAATGAGCTCTGTTACTGATGCAGATTCGAAAGTAACATTGTTTTGATATGTGAAAAAAATCATTTCGTTTTCTAACTTTCAATTTTATATCCCGGCAATTGCTTAATTATTTGGTATTTCATACCTTTCTAAATACAATATTTCATTCAATAATTTATCTAGTCATTCATCGCGAGTTCCTTAAATGTGTATCTTAGAAAAAAAAAGCACGATTATTTGATTATTAAAATATATTTTTAATTCTTCAAAAATATATTTATAATCATATGGAACGCCATTAACAAAATTTATGGCACCTATATATACAAAATCCTAGAATATTTATGGAATAAAAGGCATTTTCTGGGACATTGCCTTGAAATGCGGGATTGCTCTGCACAATCCGGGATTTCTGGTCATTTTATTTCGCAGCACTCTATTTCATCATAATTTCCTCTGCCTTTTTTTCCTCTTGAATTTCTAAAGGTTGAATATATTATTATCAATGTTACATATTTATGTAAATATGATGCAAAATATTGCTTAAAATATGAATCCATTAATTCATAATTATAAAGAAATAAGTCAATTAATAATTATAAAATAAGTTATTTAAATCTTTACTTCATTTCTGCAAAAGAATGGCGTAAAATGTAACAAACCTTAGTGCTAGTAAAAATAAAACTAATTAATGATAATCCTAGTAATACGTTATGGTCTTGGCGTGAATGTGAAAATTTTCGCCAACGTCAAAATGTCGCGTTTGATGCTCATCGTAGCGTCGCCAAAATTCGCCAGTGTGCATCGTATAGTATTATGAAACCTTAATTTACTTTTTAAAATATTAATGTAGTTAAGAAAAATAGCCATGAGCCTGATATCTAACAAAAATTTTGAACTATATGTAACAGAATTTTACGAGATGCTACACGACTTTTCATAGCAATGAATTGAATAAGGGAAGTACTCACTCACCAAGCAAATCTCAAGAAAAAATGCTTTAACAAAGCCAATAGCATCAAATATATACTAGTATACTGTTTCTTGGCTTGATATTTGCTCTCCAGTATTGTTATCAGGCATAAGCCTTTTAATTTTCTTTTAATATTTTGAGACAAAATTTAGTTTCCAGACGCTGCCCCCCCGGCACAGCACTTAATATCAACACGATAACGGCCCCACAGCGAAGGCAACGGACACGACAGTACCAGTACGGTCCCTGCCAAGCCTGCGCCTACCATAGGATGGACCTATAGTTCTAGTCCTGTGAAGTCTGCTTATATACCCAACAAATCGAAGCTGACAGGACACAAGTCCAGTCAGTGGTCTGGGAAAACCCCGGGTCTCCTCCCATAAATGGTCGGTTCCAGAAATTCACACCAGTCGATCCCTTGGGATGGGTTGCTCAGCGTCATTAGCCTATACGAGCCAAGGCCTGGACCAAGGCGCCGTATAGTTTCCAGCGGGGCCACGAGGAGGCTGACGCTGAGCTGTGGAAGACGCAAGCAGGCGAACCTGAAGCTCCTACAGTCCCTGCCCATCGATCAAACGCCGGGTCTCCTGCCTTCCGCCACTGTCTACGACGATCTCCCGCGCACGGTTCACGCCGCCTACAGTGGTTTCCAGTTGGTTCTGGACATCCGATCCCCGACCGGCAGATTGGTCATCGGATCAAACGCCAGATCTCTTCCCGCTACGCGGTCCGTTCTGGACATTTGTCCTCGGGAGGCCAATCGCCACCCGCCAGACACTATTACAGAAGAAGCGGTTTGTTAGGGTGAAAGATAATGAGATTTAATCAGGAAAAATAGCATAGATGCATAATAATGGCTTAAGAAAGAGTACAGTCCCAATACAGACACGGATGCCAAAGTTTACATATCATGTTGAAAGCACAAAACTGAAGTAGTTACTCAGACGAACACAGACTGAAGTGTTACGCCGAACTGCCGGGAAAAACTCGTCTTTCCCCGTCAGTCTGTAGGTTTGCCAAACAGGTTTACTATCTTTGTTTAGTTTTTCGCCAATCGGCGGTTTTCTCTAGAGTTTTTGAGTCTGAATCACCTGTTTGACGCTGCTGCTGCAAATTCTACGATACAGGGTCCTCTAAAATAAAATTTCAATCGGATATCCATATATGGATCATGTTAAGAAAACTGACTGCAGGTCTCTGCGTCCGTCAAAGTACTGTCCTAGAGCTTCGACCTGTACTTTTACGAGAATAAGTACTAAATCACGATCAGCGATGACACTGAAAGCATTAAGTAATCTCCTCAAGCGTGAATTTCATATAAAAATGTCATATATTCTACTAAAACGTTTGCTTGAATGTTGTCCATGTCACATTTTCATATTTGGCTGTATGTAAGTTATATTCGTGATTTATGTACTTTTTCGTTTATTTATTACATATTTGTATGTATACGGAAATTAATTCGTAAATATAGCTCAAAAACGTCAAACGTGTTTCCTACTTGAGAAATGGTGTATATCAATGAATTTGTGTTGTAGTCAGTGAAATGGAAAATAATTTTCAATGTCTGAAATTTATCTGATGGAAATTTATAACGAGATAACCTTATTTCCTCCCAGATGTTTCATTAGGCAACTTTTCTGTGCCAATTGAGAATTTTCAAGTTTTCTAATGCTAACACTTCATTTTTCTTTCTTTAGTTCAGTCCGTTAAATATTTTGAATCTTTTTTTAATTTCTGACGCTGCTAATACATATTAGTTTTAAAGATTAAAATAGTAATTACATTGAAATCTCTTTTTAGTTCCTTATTGGGATTCAGCATGGACCTGTAAATACAAAATCTAGTAAATGCATTGTCAAAGGTATAAGCCATTATCTTTATTATGAATTTATCAAGGACAACCCCCGTTTTTATTATTCATGATATAAAATTATAGATGGATTCCGTAAAGAGAATATTTTAATGCATTGTTCTTATTAAACTACGTAATAAATTATTGTTCTCCTTTTAGTTTATTAATCATTTTATGAGTTTTAAATAAGAGATTATTTTTTAAAATCTTTTTTATATATTTTTTATTTAGTTCCTTACCGTGATTCAGTTCTAACTCGCCTTTTAATGAATGCTCTTGGAGGAAACAGCAAGACTGTAATGGTAAGCCATAATCACAAATTACACTATTGTTTATTAATCATACATAACAGTTTTGCACACTATTATTCACTATTATATTTACTCACTCACGCATTACTCATAGAATACTCATTTTATAATATTGGCTAAAAAAAATTATTTCTTATAATTTACATAGTCTACCTGAGTATCCAAATTTCATTTCATCTTTTGACGGTAAGTACTTGCGCAATAACAGGTGACCAATCAATTTGAAGATTAGTTTACATGTAGACCAATCCATCTTGATAGAAAACACCACTACAACTTTTAACGAGTATCTCTGGGGAATATATTCAGTAGTCTTCTCTTTCTTTTTTATCAACTCTGAAAAAGACTTTTAGGTGGGTAGTTTTTTGCGTGTGTTTAATCCTCTTAAATGCGATTATCCTCAAATATTATCCAAGCTTTGTCTAGGTTTCGAGCCCATACCCATCGAAATTGTAGTTGCTTTCATTCGTAATAATGAAATACTGAGATTGATTCACATTTATGATAGCAAATGACATAGATATGCTCATATTGATAGCTCTCTCGTTGATGCCTTCTGACTTCTTTCGACTGATGTTTCCCCTTCAAGAAAGTGAACAACGGAGCAATTTGTTCAAGGTGCTAATATCCATCTCAACAACATTTCCAAAGAAACGAGAAAGTACGAGCAAGTTGATTGACTCTTCTAAACACCCCAAAATTTTAGGTAACGAATCTGCTAGAGTGACCCCAAGAGACTTTAGAAAGGGTTACCAGGAGATATAAAAGTAGAGCCGAAAATTATTGCTTCTTGTTGTGTACATTTTGTGTTCGAACAAGATGTATCACTTATAGTTTTGCCCCATTGCATCCGTATTTTATTTATCTGAAATTAAACATAGTTGACTTTGATCATTTTTCCCACTTTTCGTGATTCTTAATACAGTATTATTTGTTCTCTTCTTTGCTACTGTAAATTTCTTTGCTGCATCGATTAATTATAACTTCATCCATTCTAACGTTAGGCTATTAGGAGATGGACTTGTCACAAAATTGGTCCATTTACGTCACCAGTTCCCATCGTATTTCTAAGTCTTAACTGTTAATTCATTTACATGTGACAGCAGGATAGATAGTAAGTTCACACTTCTGAGATTGTAAAATGACTTTAACGCCGAGAACGATTAAACATTTAAAATCACATAAGAAGGTCAAATTTTCCGTTAGTTATTAATGGATATACAATTAAGAATCCATCCGACATGACAATTCTCGAGATTACATGCCTTTGGAAGAGCGCTTTTCTAAAATTTTATATAAATCTTGATAAAATTATTTATACTGGAATTACTTATTAAGCACGAAACATAAAATAAATATTATTTATATATGCAAGAAGCAAAAGAAAATAGATAATATTTAGACATGTAAGAAACTGATTGGTCAATTGTAAGTAGAACATTGTAATATAAAAGAAAAAATTCTTTATGCATATTTAAAGATAATACGTAAGTTCGTAGAGACATTTAGAAATTTTCACTAAATTCTTTATTTATTTAAGGATAATACATAAGTTTCTAGAGTCATTTAGAATTTTTCGATGTCAGTAATTTGAAGAAATACAGAACTGCCCTCGTCGGAATTCGAATACCGGGCCTCCTGAGCACACGTCGAACGTGCTTCCAGTAACACCCCAAAGGCATTCGGAAAGGAGGGAGAAAATACCTTATACATTATAAGAAACACAACGTTAAGTGTTACACTAGCCTCTACATTTGTAAATATAACAAAATGAAGCTCAATTAAAAAATGTTTAATCTAAAAATATGCAAGTAACATTAGATACTTAAAGTAATTCACAAAAATGTAAAAGAAATAAGAACACAGAAATGCACTGAGCTAAGAAATTGTAAAAATGTTTTAAACATTTAGAAAGTAACATATCACTATTTTAGTAAAAGATCCTTCATACAGAAGTGACGGTAAATATACTAAAATTCTTCCATATCTTGAAGCAAAGAAATATAGGCTTTGATATCACATTACGGGACATTCACCTTTTTCCACATCTTAGGATAGATATATAACGCGCATAAAGTGTTAACATGTTATATATAATATGATTTGGTTTATAGATCATACCAAATGCCCTTTATAAGCCAACTTTTATATATCACGAGTACAAGTGCTTAATAGTTCATAACCATTTTATTGCTTATTTTACTTGAGAGAGGAAATATATTTAGGATAGATGAAAATTTCTTACTGCATTGTACAGGGGATCTCTAAAGGTCGTTGCCAAACTTAACATGTTGATCTGCCATACCGTGACAAACAAGATTTACATAGGAGCTTGTGTCCGCTAGAGGGCAGAGTTCGCAGGCTTGTGGGAGAATGGGAAGCGCTTAGAGAGGACATTGCAGAAGAAGGATAAAATCGGTCTACTAAACTCAGAATTGCTCGATATGCGTTACCTGTATGGTGTAGCGGATAGAAATGGAGAAGCCGCGGTAAAGATGTACTTTGAGCGCCTTCCAAGCAGACATCAAGCAAGTCGAGTTTTGTTTGAACAACTGCATGACAGATTGCGTGAGGCAGGAGCTTTCTAAGTATGCAACCGCATCGGTTGAGAACGCACTACACGCACACCTATCGTAGAGGAAGCTGTGCTATGAGAATTTGAAACGAACCCGCAATTATGTATCCGAGCAACCGAACGCGTTTTGCGTGTACATCGTTCCAACGTTAAAAGCATACTGCGCTACACACCACCACGTTAATATGAAGACACGCTACACCCCTACCACGCCCAATCAATACAGGCATTATGCGATGACGATTATCCTGAACGCGTTGCATTCGCAGTCTGTATTTGCATAAACGGGTCGCACAGCCGGATTTTCAAATTGTGGATTTAGTTTCCGGATAAAGCCTCATTTACACGGGACAGTGTCCTGATCCTGTGCAACAGGCACGTATTGAGCGCATAAAAACCCAAGGTGCACACGTGCCCATGGAAGTCAACAACGTGGCCCCATAAGCATTTGGGCTGGTAATATCGGAGACATGTTAATTTACGTTTACCTACTGCCTCAACACCTCGACTGGAAGACCTATTGTAGTACTTGTTTAGATAGAGTGTTGCCTTATCTGATGGTTGACGTTCCAGAAGCGACACGTCGTAACATCTGGTTTCAGCATTAAGGAGCGCTGGCACATTTTAGTAGCACTGTGTGAGAGCACCTTAACAGGACATATCCTGATCGTTGAATTGGCAAAGGTGGACCAGTCGCATGACCATCGCGATCCCTCGACGTGACTATCTTGGATTTCTACCTGTGCGGATAATGAAGTCTATGGTGTACAAGACGACCTAACATCGGACTTGGATCTCGTCTCCAGAATCGTGGAAGCGTTGGTACGTATCCGTGACACACCTTCACGTGCCTGAACAGGCACGTGAATCTATGCGTCAACGCTATGAAGCATGCATTGCGGCGAATGGAAGGAATTTTTAACATCTGTGATTTAACCATGTTCTTTAATAAAAGTCATATTAACACCTCTTCCTCCTCCTCTACGCCTGCAAACATTGCCTTTTAGCGGTCTCCGTTCTCATTTTTGGACACAAGTTCCCATATAAGTCTTGTTTTTCATAGTATGACAGACCAGCATGTCAAGTTTGGTAATGACATTTTGAGGTACCTTTGAGGTAGATACTCTGTATAAAAAGCTCAGATCTTTCCACATGTCACTGCATTTACATTTATGGCAATAAAACTAGTATGTAAAATGCATTTGATTTGCGTTTTATGTCATCGCACTAAACATGCAGACATAAAATGATTAAGAAAATCTTAATTAACAAAATTATCATATTTAATCGACGTACATTATAATCGGAATCCCACTAAAATACATTGTTAAAAATTTAAAAGACTTTATAAATTCCAATCAATTTGAAATTTAAAAAAACGGAAAATATATATACAGGGGTTGGACAAAAATATGGAAACACCTTTAAAAAAACATGTTTCTTTACTTAATATGGTGTAGGAAACCCGTTGGCATCCAAAACAGCTTGCAGTCTTCTCGGAATGGATAAATACAGTTTCTGTATGTTTGCCAAGGGAATATTATACCATTCTTCCTGCAAAACGGTGGCAAGTTCAGATAACGATGTTGGCGGTGGATAACGAGAACGCACTTTCCGTTCCAATGTAGACCACAAAGGTTAGATAATATTCAGGTCTGGTGACTGTGGTGGCCAGGGAAGATGGGACAACTCATCCTCGTGCTCAGAAAACCAGTGCTGGACAATGTGAGCTGTGTGAACAGGGGCTTTGTCGTCTTGGAAGACACCATCACCATCGGGGAACAAAGTTTGTACCATGGGATGAACTTGATCGGCCAAAATGTTCACATAAGTCTTGGCAGTCCTGTGCCCTGACACAGTTATCATGGGGCTAGCAGAGAACCACGATATGGCTGCCCAAACCATAACAGAAACCCTTCCATGTTTCACTCTTGGCAACAAGCAGTCTGTATTATAAGCTTGAGATGGCGTTCTCCAGACATAAACTCGGCCAGAAGTGGGAAACAATGTGCAAGAAGACTCGTCAGACCATATTACTCGCTTCCACTGCTCTATAGTCCAGGGTTTATGACTTAAACACCACCTTTTCCTGTTACAGGCATTAGCATCACTGATGAGTGGCTTCTCAATTGCAGCACGGCCAGCAATTCCCTGTTTATGAAGCTTCCCTTCTAATTGTTTTTGGTACTCACAGGGTTCGGTAACACAGCATTTATTTCAGCAGTAACTTTTGCAGCTGTGTGTCTTCTATTTTTTCGTCACAATTGCCCTTAATGATCGTCTGTCACGATCACTCAGGACACACTTTCGTCCGCGCTGTGATTTAGCAGATGATGTTTTTCCGCTTTTCAAATATGCGGAATAAATCTTCGATACAGTACCTCTTGAAACACTAAACACCCGGCTACCTTGCTTACGGAAGCACCTACCATACGTTCTCCAACAATTTTGCTCACGTTCGAAGTCTGTTAACTCTGACATAATGCAATGACAACCTCACATAACAGTACTCCGACAACAACTGAACTGTTTAGCACATTTACGAAGTTGTATAGGTGGCGTCAGTAGTTAAAAACGCCAGCGCCACCTACATATTTCATTAAAACCAATCTTTCTTTTCGAACATGAATTTCACAAGGTGTTTCCATATTTTTGTCCATCCACTGTACCTTAAATAAAACATTTTAATTTCTTATAATTTAAGGCATATTTATTTTTAGATAGCATGTATCAGCCCTGCTGATATTAATCATGAAGAAACGCTCTCTACTCTGCGGTATGGTAAGAAATTTTTTAATTACATCTCCTAGAACATATTATCTTGAGCTTCTGAAATAATAATTTAGAATGATTCTTTTAGCTGATCGAGCCAAACAAATCAAAACCGTTGCTACCATCAATGAAGATCCAACAGAAATTCTCATTCGGGAGCTGAGGGCAGAAAATGATAAACTTAAAAAGATGTTAGAAAGAGGTGTGATGAATGTGCCTATCAAACCTGGAATGACAGATGATGGTAAGAGCTTTCAAAGTCTAAGTTCTGCTAAGAAATTATATAAATTATTATAAATACAATTACACAGTATAGTCATAAAATTTTATTTAATCAATTTATGAATTTTGGGTACGTGATTAGAAATGATAATGTGCCATACACACGGTTTAAATTTTATGAAGCAAGGTATATTCGTAAATAAAAGTATACTTAATAAAATTAAAATATTATGATATTTCTTTGGAAATAATATACAGGGTGTTTCAGAACTATTGTTCAGAAATTCATGTGGAGGTCTGACACACGATAACAAGCAATAATTATATACGAAAAGTGGGTCACATGTGCAACCCGACGAGCTGAACGTCTTGAAAGACAGAGAGACCCCAAGATAGACTGTAAATACTGCGGATTTATTTAGGTATTTTAAAGGGACTATTTGAGAAGCCTAGTTTATGAAACAAGACTTAGACTTGATGGCACACGTCGTTGCTGTAGGTGGTGCTGTAGATGAGGTCGCAATTTCGAACGCCTGCTTTAAGAGTTTCATTTCAAATACCACTGTTGTGTTGTAAACTCTTTTGTGTCGAATAAATCCTCATGTTTTGTTACCTGTCTTAAGTCCCTGTCTCTGTCTTCGTGGGCGTGTAGCGTTTGCGCATGCGCTTGCCTCTGTCTTTGTGGACGTGTAGCGTTTACACATGCGACCTTGTGTTCCTCTATGATTACTGCCTGTTATCCTGTTCCAGACCTCTATGTACATATCCGAAGAATAGTTCTGAAAATCCCTATATAATGTTAAATGTTTAAAAATATATATGTATGTAACGAAAGTGCAAAATTAAAACCAGACTAGTATTACTTCCTTATGCGAAGTATAAAGGAAGTATTGTAATCGCGAAAAGTTTCAGGGCAGCATATTTCAACGAAAATATCCATTTTGACCGCTATCGAATGCAATTTAACGATGTTTTTGCGTGATATCTGTGCTTAAGGACAGAATAAAAGACTCGTTTCCTCCAAAAAAATTATAAAACTGCTTTAAAATTAATTCTGAAGAGAATTTTTCGTGACGTCTGTACAAACGTATGTATCTCGCATAAGTCAAAAACGAGTAGCCTCAGAACGTTGAAATTTTGTATATAGGACTACTATAACATGTAGATGTGCACCTCGTATTTTGGTTGCAATCGGCCGCAACAAACGTATATAAATATATTTATTTATATTGCCACTCTGTAACCCGGCTCAGTGATCTGTTTCTTTACTCGTATATGTTTGTAAATTGTACATTTTTTGCTTTAAAAATCATTGAATTATGTTGTTCTTATCTTCCGGTTACGGTTTTTTATGACTTTAGTAAATTTGTATGGAATATTTTTAGAATTATCAACAATTTTAAAGTTGTTTAAGTGCCACTAAGCCTAATAATTGTTTTGATGGCGGCTATTGCCTGTTCACATTTGAAACAACAGACTAGTGGATTTGTTGCCAATCTAGAGAAACTTAGCTTCGCAACAACAAAGATAATGCCTTCATTTATTATTGCCAATTAAATCATGCTTAATCATTTCTGGAAATTTTTCGAGGAAATAAGTGCTTAAGATTTACTTCGTAATTTTTAATATAGATATTTTGAGTTTTTATGTATTTTTGCAAGTGAGAACTGAATTAATTGAATAAGAAATACTCAATCGTTTGTGAAAAACTGTTTCTTTTTTGTTTTGTTTGCTTAATTTCTTTTATACATCCTTCTAGCTTTATTATAGTATTTGAATAGAACATATGGAAACGATTAGATAATTCTGTTCTTTAAATTATATAAATTTTTGTGCATTCTGAGTTATAATACGAACGAAATATAATACTGTTAAGTGAATCTAGCGCCAGAGTGTCGCTATGGTAAACAAATACTAGAGTGAATATTAAAGAATGCATTTATTCTATTGTGGTTTATGTGCTGTCGGAGAAGTAGATTTAATTCAATCCAATAAGTTTAAATGAAATGCAAGAAAAAATGCGTATAATTTAATATTCCGTACAAGAAAGTCATGTGGTGTACACATCAGATTTTTTTTTATTTAAAATAAAGCATTAAATGTGTAATTTAATACAAAAAAGTTAATGTAAGGTCTCCTTAAAAAACGTTACTGCCAATCAATGAAGTTATCATATGAAAGCAAAATCAATAATATTTGATTTAACTTAACTTAAAATAAAGATATCGTTTTAAAGATACGAAGTTGTATGATATAAGAAATTATATGATGTAAGAAATACGTATACGTTTATATCTTTAAAACCAGAAATTGTTTTGTATGGGAATTCGTCCCAAATATTAAAAGTGGTATCGGTATTTATTAAAAATTTTGAAATACGAAGTTAATGAACAACAGAAAGATCAACTGAAATTTTCTTCGATAGATAGAACGTGTGGCAGGTATTACAAATCAGTTCACTGCTTTCTTAAGTAAATACCAATAAGTCATTATACTATGCAAAATATAGAGGTGAGCTCGAATGTTCTTTCATAAGTCTTGGTTGCTTCCAAAATTCTACTGTAGTTTACATACAGTAGGATTTTAGTGGAATTACAGTAGAACTATAGTGGATGGTTAAGCTTATTCCTAACCTAATACCTTCTAAGACGTCAAAACTAACTTTGGACTGCTTATCCTCATATCTAACGGTTGATCCAGAGGTTACTTGCAGAGATGAACAACCTACCGCCTAACACTTCTTAGCTCCTAACACACAAGATAGGAGTCAAGTTAAAATCTAAGGCGAACGTTATTAGTGACGACGTGTTGAGTAATGCAATTAAATATAGGAAGGAGCTAAACTTTCAAACTTCTTGTCAACTTACAAATATACCTACTACAGTTAAGACACAATAACAAGCCCAACAAATACTAATTCAGAAGTCAAACAACAAAAATCAGCGTTAGTTTGAAAATATGATGATTTTTGTTGTTTGAATTCTGTAATAGCTACTACAGTTTAGAAAAATTACAGCAACAAAACTTTCCCAAAATATGAGACGCTCTACCATAGAAATGAAACTAGATAACTTTCTAACACTTAACCATACTCTGCAAAACCCACAGTAGCTCTAATTACTGCTCAGCGAGCAGATTCTGCAGTAAGACGACAGTACCCTGGGAACAGCAAGTTCCAGATTGTTTGATTAAGTTTCACCTGCTGCTTGAGACAAAGAATATTGGAAATAAACATAAATGTCAGTAAAATTTTAATTACAAATTTCACATTTCTTTTTTTTTTAAGCGAGAGCAGTCTCTGATCGATTACTTTTCGCATTTTAATGAGAGATAGGTAATCTTTACATTTTGGCAGATAGGGCGGGGGAAATGGGACTATTCGCCGTAGCCGTTGGACCGTTTCCCCGTGATATACAGTGGATGGACAAAAATATGGAAACACCTTGTGAAATGCATGTTTGAAAAGAAAGATTGATTTTAATGAAATATGTAGGTGGCGCTGGCGTTTTTGACTACTGACGCCACCTATACAACTTCGTAAATGTGCTAAACAGTTCAGTTGATGTCGGAGTACTGTTATGTGAGGTTGTCATTGCATTATGTCAGAGTTAACAGACTTCGAACGTGGGTAAATTGTTGGAGCACGTATGGTAGGTGCTTCCGTAAGCAAGGTGGCCGAGGTGTTTAGTGTTTCAAGAGGTACTGTATCGAAGTTTTATTCCGCATATTTGAAAAGCGGAAAAACATCATCTGCTAAATCACAGCGCGGACGAAAGTGTGTCCTGAGTGATCGTGACAGACGATCATTAAGGGCAATTGTGACGAAAAATAAGAAGACCACAGCTGCAAAAGTTACTGCTAAAATGAATGTTGTGTTACCGAACCCTGTGAGTACCAAAACAATTAGAAGGGAGCTTCATTAAACAGGGAATTGCTGGCCGTGCTGCAATTGAGAAGCCACTCATCAGTGATGCTAATGCCCGTAACAGGAAAAGGTGGTGTTTAAGTCATAAAGCCTGGACTATAGAGCAGTGGGAGCGAGTAATATGGTCTGACGAGTCTTCTTTCACATTGTTTCCCATTTCTGGCCGAGTTTACGTCTGGAGAACTCCATCTCAAGCCTATAATACAGACTGCTTGTTGCCAAGAGTGAAACATGGCGGGGGTCTGTTATGGTTTGGGCAGCCATATCGTAGTTCTCTGCTAGCCCCATGATAACTGTATCAGGGCACATGACTGCCAAGACTTATGTGAACATTTTGGCCGATCAAGTTCATCCCATGGTACAAACTTTGTTCCCCGATGGTGATGGTGTCTTCCAAGACGACAAAGCCCCTGTTCACACAGCTCACATTGTCCAGCACTGGTTTTCTGAGCACGAGGATGAGTTGTCCCATCTTCCCTGGCCACCACAGTCACCAGACCTGAATATTATCTAACCTTTGTGGTCTACATTGGAACGGAAAGTGCGTTCTCGTTATCCACCGCCAACATCGTTATCTGAACTTGCCACCGTTTTGCAGGAAGAATGGTATAATATTCCCTTGGCAAACATACAGAAACTGTATTTATCCATTCCGAGAAGACTGCAAGCTGTTTTGGATGCCAACGGGTTTTCTACACCATATTAAGCAAAGAAACATGTTTTTTTTAAAGGTGTTTCCATATTTTTGTCCAACCCCTGTAGCTTGCCGTGTTATATTAAGTTGATTTAAATTAATAACTCTGTTTAGTTTAATAATTTAATTTAATTTAACAAGCATTTTATATAAAATTTTATACAAGATGATATATAAAGGGTTTTTATCTATAGTTTTATACAAATACACCGTTACACATGACTTATTAATTTTAAGAGAGTAATGTGCTGGCAAGATTCCAAAGTAATTCCGTTTTGCCTTCACATTTTATAAAAATGTAAATTTCCTGCTTGTATGAGTGATTTCTCTGAACTAGGCGATTAAAATTTCAAGAAACTTTGGCGAATTATGTAAATATTGTAATCGCATAATTTTAAAATTGATAATATATCTTCTGTTATATCAGAAGTTTATCCCCAGTTCTCTTTGATATTGACATAATTTTCCAACTATCTATGTGTAATTTTTTTATATCTCAGAAATAACTATATATGTTACAAGCAACCTTTATTAAGTATACGAAAGGTAAATGGATTTATTAAATTAAGTAAATTTAACACGAATATAATACGGCAAGATATAATATAGTCATATAAAGAAAAATATGTCTTGACGGCGAAACATCCAGACGGCGAAACGACCAGCCGACGAAACGGCGACGGTGAAAAGTCCTAGACCCGGGGTGGAGGTATTTGTAGATTCGTTCCTCTTAATGTCCACATTCCTGAAAACCAACTGTAGCAATTATGGCGTTCTGTCTTTCTCCCCTTAAAGGCTTTGATTCAATTTAATGACGCTATGTAGTATTCAAAATAATTCCAGCAATTTTATTCCTAGCATGAGTTGATGCAAAAGACACAACTAAATAGAAAGTGATATGAGCACTATACAAATTGCCCCAATATAAATAAGGTGAGGACAAGTCTGATGAAGCCTGATGTTATATGCCTAATCTTCCTGTTGAAAAACTTTTAAACCAGTGAATTTCAGACTCGTTTCCTTTTTTTAAATCTTTTTATATTTCTAACAAGATTAAAATTTAATATGTTTTTCGCTAACTAGTGCGTAGTAGATTTCAAGCCCTTACTAACCTGTGTGAAATAATTCATTTCTAATCATAGCATGTTAAACTCACATTCTTGAAATGACGGTACATCTTTATACCTAATCCATTCACGCTTAGATTATTAAGCTTTAATTTTATTACGAATAAAAGTAAGATAATACGTGATTTGTTACATTTCAAGACTTTTTCTTACTTTTTCAGAGGTCGTGAAACACAGAAGCAGGTGGGAAGAAGAAATGAAAGCAGCCATGGCTGAAAATGAAAGAGAATTACAACAAATTAAACAGACATACGAAGAGAAATTACGATTAGCCCGCCAAGCTCAAAAAGCGGTGAGTCAAAAGAGATTTCTGCTTATAAATTTAAGCTTTTCGGCCAAAATAATCATAATTTTAGCTCTACTAAAAATATAACTCGTCAGGATGTTTTCACTCTGCACTTCTTCCAACTAGCGCAACTAGATGATATTTGTCAGAATTTCATCATTCTATTATCGACCTTCTCATTTGAGTAAAGAGTAATTTATTGAAGCTTACAGCGTACATATAATTATAATTTTTCGCACCTTTAAAAAAATTAGAAAATGTCTTTTAAATTCCATTTACATGCATATAATAGACATTAAATGCAAAAGAAGAAGTGAGTAGCTTAAGATACTCTATATAAGCAACATTTTGAATGTTACTTCTAAGGCCTTATTTAAAAAAAAAATGCAAATGCGTTTATAGCCTAAAAGTATTGACTTTAATACTTTAATACAGATTTAATAATTTTCTTGTTAAATGCTTCCTTATAATTTTCTCCCCTAATTTCAAATCTATCATGTACATTTCCATCACCAGGATAATTCAATAATCGCATGAAGGAAAGCAATAGCAACTATAATAGTTAGGAAGAATGATTTCATGTTACAAAAGAAACTGTGTGTGATAGGAAATATTCTGATTGCACTTTTATAAAGAGCACACGAAAATACTTAAGAATGCATGAATTATGTATTTCGCAAACTCGTTTCTTTTCCAATAGTTCTCATATAAATCAGCACATGAAGTGCATCAAAATCAGCTAGTGCGTTTAAGAAATCCTATATTTAACACTCTAAGCGGCCAGGATTTTCGCTAAGAAAATGCAAATTACCCCAAACTACTGAGAACAAGTTATTTTTTTTAGTTTAATGTAAAAACTCTCATGGTATTTCATACCTGGATTTGTTTTATTTTGATATATTGTTTTAATTTCTTTGGCATATATTAATATGCACGTATATATACGTTCTTACAGATATCACAAAAAATATTCTAGGCCGTATATATACGGCGTCGCCGCTTGAGGATTATGTGTATTCAAGTGAAACTGTGTTTGTTATAGATTTTTTAGATTTCAAACATAAGTGTAAATATTTTCATTTGACAGCATTACATGAAAAAAATAAAAGAAACATAACGATAAAAATGAGGAAACATAATTTTAATATTATAAAAATGTCTGCAGGTGAAAGAAATATTTTGAAAGGAATAATTCCGTCTTCGTAAAGCTCATACAATAGAGTATAAAACAAGGATAAATTATGCACTTAATAAAATGACCGCTAACGAGTGTTATTTATATTTGACCTTAATTTCATTAACTCTGTTGTGCATGCAGAAAGGAACTATGGCATAAAGAATACTTATACACTGATGAAACTTCCATCGTAGAAATTATCCACGGATAAATAAAATATATATATGGATGCTGAAATTATTTTAAAAGCACAAAAATTATGAATTTAGTGCAAATATTACAAGAGGTTATTGAACTTACAAAGGGGAAGCCTGAATTTTCTGCGAAATCTTGTGAAAGTTTTGTATGCATCACATAAGATTCAACTTGACAATTAATTTCGTAACCATGTTTCCAAACTCTTGATATGGTCATTCTGTTGCACTTGAATTGATTTCAGCTAAATTAATTGCACCTTTCGGCAACTTTTTCTTAGGAACTCTTTATTTTCACGTTACTTTTACAATGTATTGATAATCAATTGAAATAAAACAATTGATTTCGATTAGTGGATCAATTTAGAAAAATAGTTATAATTCGCAGTAATTACGCTAACCTAAAATTTGAAAGATGTGTTAAAGCAAATACAGTGGAACCTCGAAATACGAATTTAATTCGTTCCAGAGGGCTCGTATAGGAATTTCTCGTATCTAGAAACAAACTTCCCCACTGAAAATAATGGAAATCCACTTAATCCGTTCCGCACCAAAAATATCAACATGAAAATAATTTTTTCTATTAATTAACACTGGTAAACAATATAACCGTAGTTTGCCTTTATGATAGCTTACGACACCGAACGCCTTTTAACTGCTTCTCGTCAATCACCACCAACAACAGTTTCTCAACATCTTCTAGGAGTTTTAGATGGTTCTTGAAAGTAACGGTAACCTCTTTGGCTACATAAAGTTTCTTAATTTCTTCTTGTTTCTTCAGAAAAGTGTAGATAGTCGATGTCGAAAGGCCGTAAGTCTTCGTCAATTCCGTCACTTATACTACGCTTGCATTTACCTATGATTTCTTTCTTAATTTCAACAGCCACGGCCATGGCTTCCTTATTTTTCTTTGCCGCACTATCTGAGGCAACAACCTTCTTCGAAAGCATCGTGAAATAATTATGTTCACGATAAATGTAATAAACAATTAACTTACAAGCGTACAAATACGTAGATCAAAGAACACTGAGTGATCTGAAGAGGGGATTTCCAGAGTCGAGCCGGATCGCGAAATGGCGTTATGCATATCAACAGCCTGCTCATTGCCCAGACGAATTTTTTGCTCATACTTTCCTCGTATTTCGATTTTCTCGTATATAGAGGTGCTTGTGTCTCGAGGTTTCACTGTACCAGATGACATGAAACATTGATTTTGACTGAAGGTTTCATAATTTTGAACTCCAATATAACTTACAACTGCATTCGCCGATCTCTTTTAAATATTCTCTTTGTACCATTATTATGGGATATGGGTGATTAAAATAATAATATTTAATTACCATTTTGTAAAATATGCAGATTTAAAATCAGAAGAGAAATAATTATTTTTCTCACACAGAGAACAGTATATGGTGGTTAAATTGAATCAGATAACCGAAATTAATCGCATTTAAGAAAAACAATCTCACATCAAGAGTTGATCACACTTGGGAACAACCTTCATTTTTTGTGAGTGAAAATAAATAGGAGGTGAAAATGAAAAACAAGAATTCAAACTCGCATCGCCGCAAAGAATAATGAAAATAAAACTTTTATAGGAAGAATTTTACATTTAAATTCCGTTTAAAATAAAATTTTAGAACCAAACCCGTAATTGAAATTATATTATTACTAAATTTAAAGGAAAAACATAAACAACTTGTTAAAAACAATAAATAATAATAATAAACAATCACGGTAGGAAAACAAATTATTACACGAAAAGCAGGCTTATTCATACAAAATGTATGTTTCTTCCTCTTTAGTTTTAAAAATAATGCTTATTTTGTAAATTCTTCTAATGATTAACTCATTTCATTGCAGGATGAAAACAGAGCGAAACTTGAAGAACTTAAAAAGCAGCATCCTCATCTTTCAAATCTTAATTTTGATCCTCAACTGTCTGGAAAAATTCTACACATTTTAAATAAGGGAGCAAATACTATTGGAAAAGAAGATAACTCTGATATTATACTCTTAGGGCCTAGGTATGAGCATAGAATAACACATTTATTTCCTGAATTCCAAGTGTATCGATTTAATATAGCACTGAATATTTCTAGACAAAAATCATTGCAAGCTGTATTCATTTCTTGAAATTCTCGCAAATATTTACTGAATAAGGCATCCTTTAAATATACACCACTGCATTATCTCTTATTTTATTTTAATTTTTAAATTCAGAAAAGTCACTTTATACCAAATGCCTTCTTATTTCATATTTGCTTAATCACTGGAAAATGTAAGGACATATTATAAGAAAAGAGGAGAGAAGAACTGGGAAAAGAAAAAAAGAACTTTCTAGAAATTATAATTACCACAAAAACAAATCAAAAAGTGAAACACGTAATATTTCATTTGAATTATTCTAAAATCCTTAGCTTGTGAATATTTCTTGATTGATGGTCCGAGTAATTAAAAAAATGACAGAAAGAGTAATTTTTTTTTAAATAAAAAAAGTATACAGTGACTCAAAATCGCAAGTATCATATTTCATTTCATCCATGATTCTCCACAAAACTAGCGGAAAGTTGAATTTTTTCCCCACATTCATAATCGAAGTAATTCCTTATTGCATGCTTTTTGCTCCGGCTCTCATAATTTTCTCCATATATGAAGTGAATACAAGGCAGTTTCTCTTAGAAAGTTTCAGTTTGTAAATTTGATAACCCTTGTGTGCTTTTCCATATTCAGCTGACTTAAACTAAACTTCATCACTATTTAATGATTAATTTTTATTTAATGCCTTTATGAGTTTAATTCATTTACTTTTGAAATGGAATGATAATCAATTGCGTTTCACAGTTAAAGTTGGAAAAATATTTCAGGTGTCATTAAATCAAGAATTATTTTGTTATCATTAACTAATAGTAATTAAATCAAAGAGAAATCTGCAATATAGTCATCCCCTAATGCACACTGCTATCACAAAAGTGTAGGACAAACTACTTCAGTTCAATCATAAAATGAAAAATATATGAAGTGCATTGGAAAATCCCTATGCTCAAAGTTCATGATAATGTAGCTGTTACAATATTCATTGTGAAAATTCTAAAATAATACACTATATTGTCTCACATCGTAACGATCAATAAATGATATTCTTTCTTTTTATGTGATGTGTTAATAATTGAATTTCATTTCTGTAGCATTCAAGAAAACCATGCCATCATTCATGTACATGATGAAGGGCAGATCATAATTGAGAAAGGTTCTCCAGAAGCAAGGATTCTGCTAAACGGTGATCCAGTCACAAGCCAGTCGGTTTTGAATCACAATGACAGGTTCAGTATCGAAATTAGAATATTATCAATTTTAATACGATTCATTAAATCATATCGAAATTCGCAGGTATGTGTGTATGCTGTATGTAATATTTTTTAATATCTGCATCGCAATGCATGGTGCTTTTCGGGAAACGGAAATTATGAAAACGTACAGATATGTTAACTTGCTTGATTGAATTAAACACGTTAAAAAAGCATATATCAAACTTACTTAAGTATGACTAGCTTGGGGGTTGAGAAATGAACACGAGGTAAGAAATGTAAATTTTGCTTTGCTGTGAATAAAAAGTGAGAAATGTCAAATCAAAAAGAATAATTAGCATATAAAATGTATCATAAAATGAGTATCAATTAATGTTGCTGGAAGAAATGCAATAAAAGTCCTTATCCGACCTTTATTTCCTCAACAGTTTGCTTAAAACGTATCGCACATAGCACAAAACATTTTTGCAATATCATCAAGATGTTCGCGTTTAAAGAGCACATCTTCAGAATATCCTGAAATATCTCCCTAACCTCCTAAACACGTCCTCTAGAGAGCTTAATGTCACGTCCCAGGATATCCTCAGGACATTCAGTTTCAAAAATGTTTTAAATCAAGCAAATGTTCATGCTTGGCTATATTTAAATTTGAAAAATCAGTTTTATAAAAATTATGAAATTTAACTTTTTATGCAGTCTTCCAGTCCCTATATGTAAATTTTAGAAAATGTTTTCCTCATTATAAAAATTTTAAATAATAATAATAATATAATAAAGAAATGTTTGATTCCTGAACGAAACAAATTGATCAGATATTTAATTTCCAAATTTGCAATACTTGATGGCATTTTTGGATCTTGACAGGTCGGTTAGTAAATAAATTAGAATAGCTGGATGTTACTTTTTTTAAATACCATTCGATGATATTCTTTTCTTATTGAACAGTGTGTAATGTTCTTTGATTTATAATGTCGTTACAAATGGTATGCCAAAAAAATTGTCAGATAAGTATAATTTAAACGTTTTTAGATGTCATAAATACATTATTCATATTCTCGTGAAATTTCATTCCATATCGTAATTAAAGTTCATTAACTCACACTTAACTAACACACTAACACAATCACTTAAAGGCACGTTTTAGAAATTTCTTTGTTTTTATGTGAGGCAGAGAAAAGGATTCGCCATTTTGCAGCAAAAGGCTATACTCTGCTATTTATCAAAGAACATCTCATTTCCAGGAAAGTCGCTGAATGCGCATTTTTCCAGAATTAGAGTTTGTTAATGATACTTTCACAAGAGCTAAGAAAGACGTGAACTCATGAAGATGCCGCTGTGCTCTCATGGCGTTTGGCTAAGGACACCACCTGTTCTAAATTTAAATATGTGAAAGATAACATCCAATCCAAATTTTTGTAAGTATGAAAAGCACCAATTGTAAAACATATTAAGGTACTCGGAGGGATCCTTGGAGGCCTGGCGGTGTGTTGAGGTCCATATAGTTAGTGCAGTTGGATTATATCCAGATCACCTATGGTTACCCATTGGGTGTCCACTGTACTTCAACCTGACGTGACCTGTGGTAAGCGAGTCGATTGCCATAGACTTGTGAGCGGGCTTCAGATTCCGGAGAGCATATTTCACAAGTGCACATCTGTGTAGTCACCGAGGGAGTGGCTTCTAGGATGAACCAATGAGCATCCAGTAATATTTCTGTCATGTCACATGACCTTTCGCATGTCCGCCACATAATTTTCTGAACAAAATAACTAAAGCATCGTCGATTGCTTCTGAAACTTTGCATTGCGAAGTTAAATCAATTATAGGAATTTCTGAAGATTTCACTGTAAGGATCTTAAGTTTTACTAACGTTTATTTTTATTTTAAATCTTTACTATCACTTCTTATTTTCTACTTCCGGCCAGAATTAAAAGCTTTAACTTATTTATGCAAATTTGTCTGGCGAACGCCAAGTACTTAAGTGTGGCTTTTTGCCAAGCAAGAGAGAGGAAGGAGTTAGTCGAAGCAGGCCGCTTGCCTTAGCAGTATTACTCGGTTGCTGGTTGCCTTCCAGGCCAGAGGTTTAATCCTCTTGTTAATTTTAAACGTATTGTAGTGTTAACAGTTCTCTGTACTACATACGGCTTCCTGTTAATATACGGCCAATCTTCCACGTAGGCCCTTGTTTATTATTCCAAATTTAAGTTAAAGTTTAGTTAATATTTTTATATTCTTACGTTCAGACCACAAGTAGTTGGTCTCTGTATTCCGAAGTACGGAAATTATTGTAAAGAGTGAAAAATAAAGGGTTTCGTATACCCTTCCTGTGTATCTTGTCTACTTCCCACATTTATTGGACATAGCTTTAGTAAGCTCCCTGTTCCGAGTCAGGTTCGTGAATGTTCACAAAGCAAACAAGGCGGAACATTGAACCTGCTTGAATCACTCACTACCTGCTTGAAATAAATGCAAATACATGTTGGATACTTCGCAAAAATATCGATGTGAAATATTACTTAATAAGCGGTAAATAAAATGAAGAAAGAAATATGTGATGAAGACCTGAGCCCAAATGCAATCTTTACATAAAATTATGCGTATGAGAAAAATATTTACACCAATTATATATGTAAATAGAAGTCAGCACTTTTTATTGCAGTCTATATGAAAAAGATATTCTATAATAATAACCAATGCAGAATTTTATTCTAAGTGAACTTTACTAATTTGTATTCGAATATATTTAGTGTGTTAAATTTCACATTTAATAACTGCTAACTCTTAAATGTAGTGTGTACACAAGAATTACTCATGAAACAGAGTGAATTTATTGTATCCACAACGAGTATATTCAATTTATTCACATATCATTTTTAATGTTAACAATGGATATAATCAGATCATATGTATTCTGAATCTTACACTTTAAAATCAAAAGAATTCGAGCACTGAAATAAGAATTAACACTAGATTCATTGTAACACTTTCAGTCATTCTCAGCTCAATTAAAAAAAATATGCACTTGAATTCTTTAATCCACATAATATGCCGTGAACATCAATCCTAATATTAATGCGTGATAAAAATCGCGAAAGTGAAATGTCAGCCATTAATCAAACTCAAAAAAACGAAAGCACTACGAGATTTTCTACTATTACGCCATATATTTATAACTGCGAAACAAATGCAAATTAAAGCGTAAACAACATAGGCTCACATGCATGAAAATTTAACGTCAAGAGCAATAGCAGCTCATTGGTCCATTTTCGAAACCCCTCCCTCAGTAGCTACGCTGATGTGCACTTGTGAAATATGCTTCCGGAGATGGTATGGTTATTTGAAAGTGCATAAGGTCTTTGAAACATGGAAGCATTTCAAATACTTTCTAGACCATAGATTCCCAACATGTTCTTTATGGATCCCAGGGATCCATTACGACCTGCAAGCGGTTCGTGTTAACAAAAAAAGTATCGTTACATAAGATGTAAATAAGGGTCCCGAAGTCTGGATCGCATTTGTATGAAGAAAATGACGAGAACTTTCATTTATTACTCATTTAAATAGAAGTACGCTGACTGTCAAAAGAATTATGTTTTTTTAATACTACAAGTTTTTACTGTAGTATTAAAAAAACATAATTCTGTTACAAGTTTTTTAATATTTTTAGAGACTGCTTTAGAGTTTGGGGACGATAAAGATCTCATATTAAAAGAAAATTTAACCGAGTGGAAACTAGACAATGCTTATTTACCAGATTTGTTTACTAAATTTAATAAGTTACCTTGCAATTACAGGATGGAAGTCTAAATTTAGTTTAAAAAAACAACTCCATCATTATAACTTTTCTTCTCAGAATTAACCTACTGAAGCAAAAGATCTGACGGGGGTTCCCAGTTTTCCAATTTGCCACAGACATACTACCAGGATAATGACGTTAGGCTGCTTTTAATATTTAAATGCCCTTCACACAAATGTTAATATCAGGCTTGCGGATGTTTAGACACTGAAAATAGCACAGTGGATTAAACTCCTATGGAAATACCACAGCTGATTATCAATTCATTCGGGACACTCTGAAGAATTGGATGTCATTTTACAAGATCTGATTATAATAAATACTAATGAAGAACTTGAAGTGTAGTTTAAGAAGGATATCAGCAACTCTAGCTTCAGAGCGGCATACATGTTATTTATCCTGCATTATGGACTATCGCAAAAAAGGTTTAGAGCATTAGGTTCATTCCTCCCATTAAAAGCATCGGTTTTTTTTTTGTGTACCTATTTTATGCAAGAATGTTGCGAGATTTGTATTTTGTGCCGATTCGATAACTAAACGTATATGAATAAAACATCACATATTTTTCATTGCAAAACTTCTCTACAGTAAACCCTATCAAATCAACCGTATCAGTAGCTCTGTATCAGCTGTCTAAAACATGGATGAATTTGATGAATTTTTAAAACTTCGGTATAAATGCAGCGTTCCACTCAGTGCAAATTTTTACCTGATATTTCTCACTGGTAAGTAAATTTCGCCTTTGACACGGGATGACATCTCTATACTTTTACCTTTCACGTATGTGTTCTGGCACGCGTTGGATGAAACTTAACCTCAGTTTCATTCTGTTTTAAGCGATCGATTGTAAACTGCCTGACTGGTTTTGGAACGACCTCTAATAAGGGATGTACGAAAAACAGGAAATATTGGCAAATGGTCTACGGAAACAAAAAGTTTCAGAACGTCTGAGCGTAGTCTGGAGAACTTGGCAGAAAGAGAGGAGAAATAGAATACCTTTGGATGAGGACATTAGAAAACTCTGCGATGAAGCGGGGAATGCTTGTATTGTCACCTGCAGAGCACCTAATGCTAAAAACAACACTATTATAATTGTCATCTCTTGGACACAATAAAATTCATGGATCTGTTCTGCTTATCTGTTCAAATTAGGGGGACTGATAACAACATCAACACATGTGAACATACAATGAAATACAGGGACTATTCTTCGGATTATTACTACCGTACGGAAGCAAATTTCCTTCCATAAGGCTATCAGGTTCAGTGTTTCTCTTTACTTGCTTTGGGAACATGCAAAGACCTGACTCGGAACAGGGAGCTTACTAAAGCTATGTTCAATAAATGTGGGAAGTAGACAAGATACACAGGAAGGGTATACGAAACCCTTTATTTTTCACTCTTTACAATAATTTCCGAACTTCGGAATACAGAGACTAACCACTTGTGGTCTGAACGTAAAAATATAAAAATATTAACTAAACTCTAACTTAACTTTGGAATAATAAACAAGGGCCTACGTGGAAGATTGGCCGTATATTAACAGGAAGCCGTATGTAGTACAGAGAACTGTTAACACTACAATACGTTTAAAATTATCAAGAGGATTACACCTCTGGCCTGGAAGGCAACCAGCAACCGAGTAAAACTGCTAAGGCAAGCGGCCTGCTTCGACTAACTCCTTCCTCTCTCTTCCTTGGCAAAAAGCCACAACTTAAGTACTTGGCGTTCGCCAGACAAATTTGCATAAATAAGTTAAAGCTTTTAATTCTGGCCGGAAGTAGAAAATAAGAAGTGATAGTAAAGATTTAAAATAAAATAAACGTTAGTAAAACTTAAGATCCTTACAAGGCAACAAAGAAAATGTTAATATTGAAAATAATATTCGTGATGCTCACTTATTTGCAAAACAATACTTTTCTCCAAATGCTTGTGGCTGCCCAGTTTCAGTCGTTTACTTAGCATTCTATAATCTCTCTGTATGAAATTCGGATTTTTTTAAAAAATTGTAGAAATATGCTTATTCTGGTACTATTTGCTATTGCTTTCATGTGGAACGAACTGAACTGAACCTCACAATATTTCCTTTTTTGGTAAGCAGGTGGAAGTGTAATTAAAAAGATTATGTCTGAAAATAATGTTTTAATGTAAAAAAATAAAATTCGTTGTAATACTTTTAATTTTAATACTTCTTGAAATACTTTAAAAAATATTTATTATCACACAAAGCTGCTTAAATTTTCGTTTGCTCTAATTCTAGAAAATGTACTTTTAATTTTAATAAGACTTCATGATATAATATTTAGTGTCTTATAGCTGATCTTTTGTTTAACACTAAAAAATATGAAAACTGTTTCATATGAGTTTCTGTTAGTTTTGATAATGATCCAGTATGATACCTAGAGAGCGAAAAAAAATAATAATCGTTTGCGAAGCAAACAATCTAGTATTTATCACGATAATTGGTTTGTGTTTTTTATATACTACCTTAAAAGTTAAATGATTAGTTAGTTCCAAAATTTCTTTACACTGCATATATGCGAACATGATTAACTTTTATTGAATGTAGACTTTTATTACAGTTTAGAATTATAATTTGCAAAACAAAAGTTCCTTTAAATAATTAAATTCAAGTGCAAAAAAATATATATTTAATCAAATCCAACTTTATAAGATTACAACTTCACATGATTTTACCATATTTTAGAATTATGTTTGGAACGACGCAACTGTATATATATCAAGACAGTGAAAAGGCAACGAGGGGCAGGAAATATCCAGAAATCACTTACGAAATGGCTCAAGAAGAAATAGCTGGAAAAGCTGGAATTAATATTACAGATGATAATTCTAGAGGTAATTCAATTTTAGAGGTAATAAAACGAAATTTAATAGCATAAAATAATTAAATTTAAGAAAACTGTACACCTGTCTACAAAATTAATCCAAGCAGATATCGATATGGAAAAACAGACTAACAGTATTATACTAATAAAGTCTTCTGGTATTTCCGGTAAGTATAAAATATAGTAGCTCAGATGCAATAAAATACAAAAATTGCTAAAGCAGTTATATTCCATTTATGGCCAAAAGTTCATTGCAATAAACATAAATTAAATTTAAAGGTAGTTATTTTTTCGAAAGAGTTATAAATGTTTAGCTATTTACAAGATCCTATATACTATGTTCCTTCCAATGGCATAGCTTCTAATTTTAACCCTGCAATGGAGGGGCCGGCGTACAGAGTACGCCAATGCCATCTTTTGGGCTGTAATTTATTGACAACCCCTTCCTGAGCTTCCTCCCTTCCTCTACCCTCCTAGAAACATTTCATGAGTGCAATGCACCTGGTATTTCTGGTCAGTCTGGTTTTCGCCTTCCTTTCGAAATCAGTTATTGTGAACATGTCGCGTAGGCGAACGCAGTACGCCGCTCCTCCAAGTATGTACAGAAAGAATATTGTACCTCCTGAAGATTATTTGCGCGTTTTAGAAGAAGTCTCGGTTGATGAAGACTACGAATATTTGGATAACTCAACTCATGTCGATGAATCGGAAGTCATCGAACATTCTGATCATGAAAGTGACTCAGAAATTGAGGGAAATGTTTCTAAATATCCTCATTTTCCTTCCTCAAACGATGTGTCCGCAACAAATGACGATTTTAGTGATATTGAAAATGACATGACAGATTTAAAATATGAGGTCTTTTTTGTAAAAACAATTTACAAAAAGAAGAAAGTTGGAGGAAAATTTCTGAAAGAAGGAAAGGAAACTTATAAGTGGATTAAAGTTCCCCTCAAGAGCAAATTTACCAGAACGCCTCGAAAAAATTTGAGGAAAAAAATATGTCCAAGTGCCAAAACTTGTGACGATATAAATGATGAGCTTTCTGCTTTTCAGAAAATCATAAATGATTGATGCTATCGTACAATATACAAATATTTATCTTAAATGTAACAGGACTGCAGATGATCTCCAAAACATCTCAAAGAGAAGCATGTATGATACTAATAGAGCAGAAATGTTGGCCTTTTTTAGGAATTTTATTCTTATTAGGGTGCAAAAAAATGTCAAAACTCAATTTGGAAGAAGCATGGGCAAAAGACGGTACTGGAATTGAAATTTTGCAAGGAGTCATGGGTCTCAAGCGATTCAGAAACCTGTGTGCTGCTATTAGATTCGATGATAAAGGAACAAGGTATGTGCGAAGAAAAACTGATAAGCTTGCTGCATTAAGAGAATTTTTTGGAGCTTTCAATCAGAACTGTCAAAACTTTTATACACCAGGTGACGAACTCACAATCGACGAGAAGTTGGAGCCCTTTCGCGGGTCCAGTGCGTCCACTTTTTGAATTAATTAAAAATTCGTAGTTTTCCATCTTTACTGCTTTTCTTCTGTTGTTCTTTTTCTTATATCATTTTTACTATGAAGAATCACCTTATTAATGCCATGTATAAGATTAAATAGTTTCAAACACGAAGCAGAGGCTCGAAAAATGACCTGGCGTACTTCATACGCCGCCTCTCTAAGATTGTACCATACGCCAGCCCCTCCAACTGAGGGTTAAAAACTGTTTCATTTGTTTTCTAAATTTTCAAGGAGAAAATGTTCAAATTTTCATCATGTTTTTATAATACGCGTTACTGATCATTCAGAGCTCATTGTTTTTGACAAAGATGCTTGAGGGCAAGTTAGCAGCCCTTCACGTACGTTACTGCTAATATGTTTTAAAATGTTATCTGAATAATTATGCTTTTAATTGCTTGAACAATAAACTGTTTTTAGTGGTTCTTACTTTTCTCAAGCAGTTATTTAGGATCTGTTTTATAGTAACACTTTATTAATGACATACTACGTATATCCATTAATCCACTATGTTGGAAGTTTTGTCTGCTTAATTCGGATGATTTTTGCTTTCCGTTTCCATGTGTTAAATAAAGTAAACTGCAAGATTTCTTTAAAATCGGAAACTTCCGTTAAAAGAATAATTTTTAAAATTGTGGGGATCATTTAAATTTTTTAATAATTATTTTTAATTTTGAAACCCTTTCCTTTAAATTCTTGTTTTCCACCTACAACTCCCTACCAGAATGAGATTTCAGTATCGCGTTTTTATGTAAATAAAGTAGAACCAGTATTTAATAAGAAATTTTGTCACTTCCGTAGAAATTTTAAGTAGAGCATGTTTTTCCTTCGAACCACGTCGTTGCTTTAAGCCTATAGGACGTAGTCTTACGAGCCTGTTAGTATTCGCCAGTGAGGTTTAATTACGGGACAACTCTATCTTTGAGTTATCTTCGTACAGCTTCGGTTAATGTTTAGCTAGTTAGAATAAGTTTAGGTTCCTGTTTTCTGTCTTAAGCCCAAATGGAGGCTTTCTTGTAAGCCCGAGTGGGGACGTCTGTTAGCATTTCTTTGAGTGAATGAAAGGCATTTTAACCCTTCTTTGAACTTATATATTATAGCTGTAAGAAGACCAGCGAATAGTCGCTAGACACTTCCTTAAGATGCTAGTAGCCAACGACACGTAAATTAACTAGAACTTCAAAGCAATCCATTTGTCGCTGCTTTTCACTGCATACTGAGGTGCCAAAAATGGCATAGTGGGGTTCACCTTATTAGTCACTGCATATCCAGGTAGCGAGACTTAAGTAATTCTAAACACCAGTCATACAAAATTTTAACTGAGAATTCAGGAATTGATAAAACGTATTCATTCACTAGTAGCTTTCTGGCAAATAAAATTATGCTTGTACATACTGTAATATATTTTAAGAGATAAGTGGAACAAATTATATTCATATTAAAATTATGCTTGTACATACTGTAATATATTTTAAGAGATAAGTGGAACAAATTATATTCATATTAAAATTATGCTTGTACATACTGTAATATATTTTAAGAGATAATTGGAACAAATTATATTCATATTAAAATGATACACTCTACAAATCGTTTATGTGCTATGATGTTGGGAGGCCCCAACTTGTCAGCAACAGTAGTAGCCGCTGCTATGAACTGTAAATTACACAAACTCTTAAGAAGGGTTTAATTCCCTTTTTATTTCACTTTAGAAATCACAGTTGCGTTCACTTGACGCTCACAAACTACGCCGACCCGGCGGTGTAACAAAATAGAAAAGTACAACTAAAAATAAACGACAGGATGAATAAATAACGAAGTCACTACTTACGAGGCTCTATAATCGCAACTAACTTAACCGCGTTCTAAGATACAGCTGAGATTCAGCAAACTTTCTGATTAAGAAGTTGAAAGATTCACTGAAACTCGATGAGCTATGTTTAACATTCTTAAAATTCAAGTGTAGGTGGAGAACCCTACAAAACACATTCATTTTATTCTTCCTCTCTTTGTTGCACAAAGAATAATTTATCTAGTGGCGTAATTAACTTCCGTCCTAAAAATAATTCTGCTGGAGTTTTTCCGTAGTATCATGATTTGCGTTCTTAAAGCATAAGCTAACTCATTTATGTAGCCATCCCAGCGCTTGTGATGTGTGCTAACATAACTTCGAATTATTTTTACAATGTTTTTATTAACTCTCTTCTGCGATGTTTGCCTGTGGTCTATACGGAACCATTTTGATATGGCGTATGCCAAGTCCAGTGCATATGTTTTCAAATATTTGGCTAACGAATTGTTTTACCGTTATCGCTAATGACTTTTATCGGTGCACCGTATTTTAAAATGTATCTGTGTAAGAATACATCTGCGACTGTTTTGGCTGACGCGCATTTAAGTGGAAGAATTTCTGTCCATTTTGAAAAATGATCTGCAATTACTAAAAGAAAACGATTTTTATTTAACTCACTCTGGCGGAAAGGACCAAGAAGATCTATGCCTAAAATTTCATTCGAAAATGTAGCGCGAATGCTACTATTTAAGTTCCCGGCTGGGCTGTAATTAATAATCATTTATTAACTGACATTGATTGCAGGACCTGACATACGCAGTTACTATTTTGTATAATTGCGGGAAATATACCGCCTCGCGTACCCTTTTTAAAGTCTTTCTGACCCCTAAAAAACCCGCTGTTTTCGCGTCGTGTAATTCCTTCAAAATGCTTAATCGAAGCGAGGCTGGGATGACTGGTTTATATTCGAAGATTTTCGTTTGTTGTTTCGTATAAAATAATAAATTATCTATTATTTCATAGTTAGTTTTCTGCTCTATTTCTTATCGCATCGATATCTGTGTGTTCAAAGCTTTCGGGGTCTTTCAAATAACGCATAGATACTTCCAAATTCAGGATCAGCTTTCAATTCAGCAATAATTGTTTCTCTAGAATCTAAAATTTTTGAAGTCAACACAGCGCATTTAAGTTCATTGCCTTCATCGTCCAGTTTTATTTACGAGAAAGTGCGTCAGCTACATTGTTTTCCTTACCCGGTTTATATTTAATTATTAGATTATATTCTTGAGTTTTAAAGCCCATCTTATTAACCTGGGCGTTAGGTTTTTCCCCGAGTAAAGTCTACCAACAGCCGCATGATCCGAAAAAGACTGTTACTGGCGCTTTGCCGAAATAAACTCGAAATTTGTGTACAGCCATTAATACGGCTAATGTTTCTCTCTCTGTAGCTGTATAATTCCTTTGCGTAGATTTTCAAAGTTTTACTAAAAAATGCCAAAGGATGGCCATTTTGCATAAGAACCGCACCCACAGCATAGTCCGACGCATCTGCTGCAATTTCCAGGTTTTCGTCCCCTCCGGGAAATTTCAAAACAGGGGCATTGATGAAGCGCTTCTTTTAACCTTTCAAATGCAGTATTTGCTTCTGCTGTCCACGTAAATTTACTTTTCTTTCTTTTAATTACTAACAACGGTTCAACAATATTAGCAAAATCTTTTATGAACGACCGATAATAAGAACATAACCCAAGGAAAGAAGAAAGTTTCTTGGCGGTGTTGGGAGGTGGGAAATTCTTGATGGCTTTTATTTTTGAATCTTGAGTTTCTATACCCTTTTGCGAAATTTTATAACCCAGATATTTAAGTTCTTTAGTTGCGAACTTGCATTTTGAGGCGTTAATTGTAAGACCGGCCCTCTTTTAATAATTTAAAAACTTCTTCTAAATCTTTAATGTGTTGTTCCAACGTACTACTCGTTATAATTATTATATCATCTAGATAGATTAAAGTCGATTCTCCTAGGACAGGCTTTAGAACAATGTCCATAGCTCTCTGGAATGTTGAGGGGCCCCACACAACCCAAAGGGCATGCGTAAAAATGCATAAGTGCCCGATTTTGTGTTATAAACGCGGTTTTATGTATGTCTTCGGGTCTCATAGCTATTTGATAGTAGCCAGACGTTAAGTCCAAACGTAGTCATATATCTTCGTAGATTTAATCTTTCTAATAATTTCCTCTATAACCGGCAAAGGGTAAACTGGGAATTTAGTAATACTATTAAGTTTTCTGTAATCGATAGCAAACCTCCAAGCCCTTTTATCCGAAGGAGGGAAACTCGTTCTTTTTCCTACATAGTACGACTGGACTCGCGTACTCACTATTTATGGGCTTTATTATTGTTATTTAACATTTCCTGAATATGTTCTTCAATTATTTGTCTTTCTGTTTATCATAGCGGTAAGGTTTAGTCCTACAGGGTTTTCGGCAGTTAACTGTATCTCATGCGTAACTATTTGACAATTACCAGGCCGTTCTGAAAACAAGTTGAAAAAGTACTCACCACTTGCTGGATGGCTTGACTTTCATGGTCATTCAAATGGCTAAGGTCCAACTTGCGGTTGTTTCACTGGCTTCCACCACCCTCCGATCCATTTCCAGCATAATAGAACTTTCCTGAAAATTCAGTTTGGCCTTCGCGGCCCTTAAAACTCCATACCTAAAAATAACTGGATTAATTGCAAATTTTTGACCACAAAAATTAATACTTTGAGGCTTTCATCTTTTACCTGAATTTTTAATGATAATTTGCCAATGCAAGTGACAGGTTTTCCTTGCGCCCGCTATAATTTCTGTGTTTTTATTTTTAAATAATCGAACCTATTAAAATTCTTCTTGAAAAATTATCACTCATAAAAATTACCTTCTGCTCCTGTATCGATGAAGGCTTCTACTGGTACATCGCCAACTCGAATCTGTTATCGGTATGGTGAGTCTTTACCACTACCTTATTTATGTATACTCTTCCACCATAATGAGACCTGTCCTCTTAGTGCAGATGTGGCAATGGCAACATTTTGCCTTTCGGGCACAGGATATAGCTGGAAATGATTTTCGAGGCCTTCTAAGAATAACGCCACCGAATTTTTTCCGTCAAAATTGACGGTTGGTTTGACAGATGCTCTCATAGTTTGGACCAGGTATCCAAAACCTTCTAACTGGTTCGCCATTTCTTGCCGTTGGAGTTGTAGAGGGGCTTCCATCTAATTTTCTGCCATCTGAGTTCGTAAGATGTTCGGGCGCCAATGTAGTGTCGTGAGGCCCCAACTTGTCAGCAATTGTGGTAGTGACTGCTACGAAGTTCGAATTTACACAGACAAGTAAGAAGGATTTAAAGCCCTTTTTATTCAACTTTTAAAATAACAGCTGCATCCACCTGACGCTCACAAACTACGCCGACTCGGCGTTTTAACAAATCAGAAATGTGAAACTAAAAATAAATGACAGGATGAATAAAACGAAGTCACTACCTACGAGGCTCTATAATCGTAACTAACTAAACCGCGTTCTAAGATACAGCTGAGATTCAGCAAACATTGTGATTAAGAAGTTGAAAGATTCAACGAACTGCCGAAATAGGCACACAGGCCGAAACACGTGGTTCTTAAACTTTCTACCAAGACCTTCACGCTCGTGATTCAAGAAGCACACTTACAATCTCGCTTCCCTGCTATTTAAACTCAAATTTACTTCTGCTAAAATTTGAATACTCTGCGCGTTCTACTACGATTTACATACTCTGGCATTGGCAATTCTAGGGCAAAGTAAAGTCTTGACAGGAAAGATAGCTTAAACTTAAAATAAATGTTAGTTAAAATAAATATAAACCCTACAGTGCCAACAACATTTCCTTGCGAACCTTAGGTTCGCGCCCATTCTTCTTATTGTAATAAAGTAATGTACGCTCCCTTAATTGTTATATAATGAAGTTATGTGTAATAAAATAAATGCATACATAGGGCACCCGAAATGCGACGTAACTTATTTAAGCGCTATTGTTATTTTGATTTTGGTACAAAATTCACACATAGTTTATCCACCAGTTTTAAGACTCAAAACTATGTTTAACTTATTTTAATCTTCTGCTCACATGCTCATAAAATGCAAAGGAAGTGAAGGAATAGTTATGTTTATCTTTGTAGAATTAAATGCTTTTTTGAAGCGTCCAAAAAGATTAAGGAAGTTGCATTTAAAAAATTCTTTTTCCCGGGTATTTTTACAGGAAAAGTGTTTACTATGAATCAATATATACAAAATATCCAAAATGAGAACAGAAACAAAATCGAATTTAAATTACATCACGAGTTTTATGAATTCTTTATAACTTCACTTTTTTTAACATTTTTCTGTCAAGTTATTATTTAAATAAAATTATGAAACAGTTTTCCCCCCTCTTTTAAGTAAAGGAACGGGTATGATACTGAATTTTGTATTCTTAATGACATGAAACTTTAACGTTTTCCTTATCCATTTACTGAATGAATTATTAATGTGAGCCGCTTTTTCGGGGGGAATGAATAATTAATCACTTTTATTTGATTTTTATTTTTCCAGAGAGTGCTTTATTAAATAAAGATTTGCTGGAAGTTCTTCCGGGTGTGGAAGTTGCTAATTCAATCAGCGAAGAATTAGACAAGAGAGTTAAATTCGAAATTATGCTGGTCTCACCTCAAATGATTGGAAAAACAACAGGCCGCACAGAGGTTAATTTCAATATTTTATCAATAAATATTCATATTTCTAATTCTTTACAGTTCTTTTTAGCAATCTATGTCACACGCTTGTAATGTTGATTTCTTTTTTAATGATTTCCCTTATATATTCGCAAATTAATTGTTATTTCAAATGTACTTTCTTCATTAGTTTTAAGTGCATCTTGGTTACGAAACAAATTCTTAAAAACATTTCATTTATTCTTTGTACACAGGTCTATGTAAAAATGAAAAATTTGGATACGCGACAAGAATATGAATGGCCGAAACAGAAATTCCTTAACCGATTGTACGTCATGAAAGAAATGTATCAGAATTACGAAGCAGATGAAGATTGGGATTTGCCACCGGTAAATAACTAATTGCATATCCTTAGTTAGAATTCTTGAACTGTAATGTTAAAACCGAATATTAATAAATGTAATTTTGTAAACTCTTTGCTGGAAAGATATGTGCTCGTATTAAATTTGTGTATTTAATTTTATGAAGTATTTAATTTTTAAGTGTATTAAATTTTTAAGTGTCTTTAAAATACACTTAAAAATTTCAGTTACATCTAAATGTGCAAGTACAATAAAAAAACTAATTTGCATGAAAATCTCCTACTTTCCTTTTTACTTCCTTGTTAGAAGTAAAAAGGGAGTATTGTAATCGCGAAAGTTTCAGGCAGCATATTTCAACGAAAATATCCATTTTGACCGCTTTCGAATGCAATTTAACGATGTTTTTGCGTGATATCTGTACGTAAGGACAGAATAAAAGACTCTTTCCTTCCAAAAAATTATAAACACTGCTTTAAAATGAATTCTGAGAGAATTTTTCGTGGCGTCTGTACGAACGTATGTACGTACTTACGTACGTACGTATCTCGCATAACTCAAAAACAAGTAGCCTCAGAACGTTGAAATTTTGCATATAGAACTACTATAACATGTAGATGTGCACCTCGTATTTTGGTTGCAATCGGCCGCGCCAAACGTATATAAATATATTTATATATATATCCACTCAGTTACCCGGCTCATTGATCTCAGTTTCTTTACTCTTATATGTTTGTAAATTGTACATTTTTTGCTTTAAAAATGATTTAATTATATTGTTCTTATCATCCGGTTATGGTTTTTATGCCTTTAGTAAATCTGTATGCAATATTTTTAGAATTATCGACAATTTTAAAGTTGTTTAAGTGCCGTTAAGCCTAATAATTTTTTTGATGTCGGCCATTGCTTGTTTACATTTGAAACTTGGCAAAATAGTGGATTTGTTGCCAATCTAGAGAATCTAAGCTTCGTAACAACAAGGATAACGCCTTCATTTATTATTGCCAATTAAATCATGCTTAATCTTCTCTGGAATTTTTTCGAGGAAATAAGTGTTTAAGATCTACGTCGTAATTTTTAATACAGATATTTTGAGTTTTTATGTATTTTTGCCTTGTCGCGAAATGAGAACTGAATTAATTGAATGAGAATCTCATCGTCTGAGAAAACTGTTTCTTTTGTTTTGTTTGATTAATTTCTTTTATCATCGTTTAGATTTATTAAAGTATTGGGATAGAGCAGAGGCACGATTAGAAATTTTTAAATGATATAATTCGTGATTCTGAGTTAATATGAACGAAATATAATATTAAGTGAATACGCCGAGGTCGTCTGCGTAGGTTCAAATTTGCGTTAGGTTAGACGTTAGATACAAAGTTAGACGTTAGGCGTTAGGTTATGGTAATCAAATCGAGTGAATTTTAAAGAATGCATTTATTCTATTGTGGTTTATGCGCTGTCGGCGAAGTAGATTTAATTCAATCCAATAAGTTTAAACGAAATGCAAGAAAAAAGGCGTATAATTTAATATTCCGTACAAGGAAGTCATGTGGTGTACACATCAGATTTTTTTATTTGAAAAAGCACTCTCGTCCCTCCCCCGCTCCTGAAATAAGCAATATGACATTTTTAATCTGTTTACTTCCATTTATCCAGAGGAAACTGGATTTTTCAAAGTATAAATGTCTCTTTAAACTGTTTACTTTGCTCAAAAATTATCGAGATGGAGTTGATAAGTCTCTCAGGTTTAAGGAACTGAATATTAGATTTCTCTGTCATCAAGGGAAAGGGCTACTAGTTATATTTATTTCTTTCTAAGACTGGGTAAGTAATTACAGAAAGAAAGGAAACTAATAATAAAAGAAGAGCACGGCTGTTAGTTGTAATTCACACAACCAGAATAATGCTTAATCGCATTGCATTAGGAATTGTACATCCTAAGATATATAAGGTATTTCTCCCGCCTTCTTAGGATGCCTTCGTGGTGTAGTGGTCAGCACGGTCGACGCGTATTCGAGAGGTCATTGGTTCAAGTCCAGGCGAGGATATTGCTCATTTTTCATCTCTCTTGCTTCGGAATAACCTAATATCTCTACAGTGGCGCCCAAACTAAATGGGTGGTGGATGATGATTCTCCACCACCAGGATTTGGCGATTGGTTTCCCTAATCCCCAGTCGCCCTTTAAAAGGAAAGGAGGAGCATATAAGGTATTTCTCCCACCTTCTTAGCATGCCTTCGTGGTGTAGTGGTCAGCACGCTCGACGCATGTTCGAGAGATCCGTGGTTCGAGGCCCGGCTAGGCCTTTGATAGTTTTCATCTCACCTGCTTCCAAAAAAATACCTAATGTCTCTACAGATGTTTCTCACTTTCAGAGATTGAACAGAAACCTTATCTCCAAATTTCTAAAATTTCCTTTCCCAGTATTTGCTTATAAAAGTTTTAATGAGTTCGCATAAGCAATCGTTCGAATATCCAAAGCTTAAATGTTTATATACAATAGAATAATTGTTTATAACTGATACATTTTCCAGGAAAGAGATCCATTTTTAGAAGATCCGGACACAGAAGTTCGCATTGGTACTGTTCAAGTTTATCTCCAACCAATCTCTTTTATGGTATGTAAATTTAGTAAAATATTTTTTTCTTTCACTCATACGATGGCATAATTGTTGTAATACCTATGGCATTTTGCAGGTGGAATTGAAGGAGCAGCTGGAAGTTATAAATTATAAAGGCAATGAAGTTGGTATAATTAATGTGAGTAATAGAATCTTAACATTACTTTTATTTCAGAAATTTACAAATTTAATTTTCAAGCAATTTTTTTGAACTCTTCTCTTTAAAATTTTATATATATGACACTTAAAATCATTAAATGTGATGTAAATATTATATTACAAGCAATATCTGTAAGTATACGTAAATAAAATTTTGTATGTATAAAATAAAAATTAAAAAATTCGAAGAAGATGAGTTAAAATGTTTTTTTTTTTTTTTTTTTTTTTTTTTTTAAACTAATGAAGCATAAAGTGTTTTGGTAAATAAATTGTTGTAATTTTAATCTATTTAGTTAAATTAGCTTTTGTTTTTTAAAATCACGATTTGTGCATTTTCTATTTAGTTGTTCAATATTTTTATCTAAAACATGACTGATAAGAAATAAATAATTAAGTAAATAAATAAAATAAACATTCCTTACTTGCATTACAGTAAAAGCACATTTGGCTTACAAGAAAAGTGAACACAGTTATCTAGAATTTCCGAGTATAATGCGGGGCTGTGATATTTGTCAGTCAGATATTTTTGAGTTTCTTGAACAAAAAATATTCTTTTCAGTCGAAAGGCAAGTTAGACCAGAAGGGCATTTTAACGTCGAATCACTTTTTAATTGGTTGCCACCAAATATTATCGCCCTGTATTATATTTAAAGAAAATAAAACAATGATGAAATCTGCATGCATGTATGCATGTTCCTCGCATTGTAGAAAAAAATCTTTCCTAGAGCCATCAAATTCTGAATAACGTAGCGCTCTACCCAAACATGTGCACCTGAAAGCCCGAAATTTTGAATGTCGAATATTTTAATGACTTTCTGATTAAAAACTAAACGATTTCAAAGCGAGCAGTGGCAACATTGTAAGGAATAAAACATTTTTATCTCCAGCGGGCGAGACTGTCTATCGGAAATTCTAAAGACATGCTTAATCCAAATACTTTCGAAACGTGCATGTCTATGCAAATGAAAAAAATGCATTTTTAGGAGAGCGTAATATAAAATCTGAAAGCTTTCAGATTTTTGTGACTTAAATTATATTAAAGAAACTATTTTAAGCAATTAAATATTAGTCATTGCATTTTTAAGCAAAAGAATTATTTGCCTTTATGAAGCGCAGATCTATACATTCTCTGGCCAGTAGCACTTTTACTAACACGTCTTCTGTCTTGTAATTTGAAAAAAAAAGTGTCTTCCTTAATGTGACAGAGTAAGTATAAAAATTTACCAGCTAACATATCAATAAACATCCACTTGTACAGCATAATATAATGCCTGGGAGTTATGATTTAGCATAAACGTAAATTGAAAGTTTATTTTCCTAACATTGTGATGTAGTGCACCAATCTATATACCATAATACAATATTGCTGCAAAACCATTACATAACTACCTATGAAAATTTCGGGCTTTCAGGTGCACATGTTCGGGTAGAACTGAGTATTAAACTTGTGCCCCGCATTTAAGATTCTTTCTCCAAGCGTGTTCAGCTCTTATTATTTCTAAAGTCTGATTCTACACAAAAACGCATTGTATAAGCTTAAGATATAAATTCGTTTATATGGAATGTTTCCCTGGAAGTAACAAGTCATTTAATTGGTTTAAAGTAGTTTTATCGATGAACAGTCACCTGAGCAAAAAATTTAAGAAATAAATAAAAATACAATAAGAATAAAATGAATGTCTAATAAGAAAATTATAAAAGAAAAATTGCACAGTACTGTGGTTTGTTGCGCAATAAATGCCAAGATTAAACAGAAACTCTTGTAAAACTCATTTATATTAATGAAATTTAACATTCTATGTGAGAACGGATTGTAGAACTAGTAAAATTAAAAATCATACCTAACATAAAATTACTCATAATCTTTTCTTTTACCTTCTACACATCATCATTTCTTTTAGTCTTAGTCCATGATAATCAATATACATTCTTTTTCAAAATACAAGAAACAAACTCAAAACTAAAAAGTACGAAAATGAAAAGGGGAATTAAAACAGATAATTTATATATGAATACAAACTGAATGACTATGCAGATAGGCAAGCAAAATTAAAAAGGGGCATGCCAGACCTATGCGTCAATTCGCAAGTAGTGATAGTTCCGTGTGATCCGAGATAGTCAAAGCGGAAAGCATGAGCCGAAGACACCGTTTGCACGATGAAAAACGTTGGAGGACTGTCGAGATGTTGCAAACTAGTACAAGACAATCTGCTGTTGCGAGAGAGCTGAAATTGCATCGAAGTGTCATCAGTAGACTATGGAATCATTACCAAAGGATCAAACTCCATGCAGAAGACATGGTTCCTGATTTCGAAGGTTTACCATAACGGCAGATAATCGCTTCCTTTCGCTATGTGCAAGACGCCCTACCTAGCTCACTAACAGTACGACAGCTGGCGTCATATCTCTCTGGTGCTGCAGAACGGCCCATTTCACACCAACTGTATCACGTCAGCTGCATGAAAGTGGATGGTACTCCCGACGACCTGTGCTTTGTGTTCTTCTTTCCCCATGACATGTCAGACCGCGGTTGGATTGGGCCTGTCAGCGTCGTTGTTGGACATAAGAGCAGTGGGACCCCGTTCTCTTTACGGACGAGTCTCGATTTAACATCTAGAAGGACTCCAGAAGGACAGTGATACAGCGAGAGCCAGAGGCATGCTGTTGGGAGCCAAACATCTTCGAAAGAGACCATTACAGAGGAGGAGGCTTAATTGTTTGGGCTGAGATAACAACGAACTGCCGCACCGACCTCTACGTGATTCCTGATGGTTACGTCACAGCCTTTCGAAATCGCAACGAAGTTCTACATCCTCTATTGGGTTATTTTTATCTTTGCGATGGGTACCGACTCGACATTTATGCACAATAACGCCCCGCCCGCATAAATCTCAACTGGTGCGGAGTTATCTGGAGAGTGAAATTATTCCACAACTGCCTTGGCCTACTACACCACCGGATCTGAATCCCATAGAGCTTATGTGATACATGTTGGATGGCGAATAGCATGTCGCAGTGTGCCGCCAGGCACCCTTCACGAGCATAGACATGCATTACTACATGAATGGGCTGGCTCTACTGCCCCAACAAGCGATGAATGATACTATCGCCGGCTTGCATTGCCGTTGATAAGCATGCAGTTCAACTAAGAGGGTATCATATCCGTTATTAATGTGATGTTTTCATTGCAGATTCTTCCGACGTATTTGGTCCTTTGCGATGTGATAGTCCTAATGCATGTGATTTTTATGTGTTTGCATTATTGTTTGCTGTGTGGTCTAATAATGCCGCACAAACCTTTAGGATCAATTTCAAGTATATCCATTGAACAGTTTTTGCTCTTCTCCGTGTTTTTCCTTTGTTTCTTAATTTTTAAGCAGGAGTATATTAGATAAATAAATAAAAGCATACCAAGATTATTTTTAAAATACAAAACATTTTGTCCTCAAAATCAAAGAATTTTAACTAGATATCAAATAAAAATACCTGCGTTGAGTGATTGAAGGAAAATTCATGCTGTTCATATCGTGCATGGCAAATGCTTTGTGACCTAAATTAATAAAAGTTTTATACTGGATTTTTAAACGTTATTTGAACTAATGTTGCATAATTTTGTCCTGTTACAGGTTGAAGTGGTTCCTTGTTCTGACGATGGCAGAGAATATACGGAACAAGATGACCAATTTTTAGAAAGCCCATCAGAGCTTCTTGGCAGAAATCTCTATTTTGTGGTCAAAATCAATGGCTGCAGAGGGATACCAAGCAGGTTTACGGTATACTTAATTATATAGTAATAGCTTTTAAAAAACATAAGTTTTTAGGCAAACTTGAAATATATGGTTTTTAAAGCAATTTAAATGAATTAATTTAATTTAAAATCTTCAATTTTCACTTTCTCTCAAAAGCTCTACAACATTCAATAATCGTGAAATATAACAAGGTTTCTTAATACATATCCAAAACCATGTTAAGCAGGTTACGAGAAAATATATATGAATATTAATGTATGGAAATGAATTTGAAATTTAAAATTCAATTTTAGATTCATAAGTAATTATTGAGAGATCCGTGGATGAAATACCGGCAAGAGCAGTTAACTATTCCTCTTTCAACAAGCATAATGATAGTCATCTGAAGCTGTGGTGGATGATAACACATTACAACCTCTATTAAACACCCCCGGGGTCGACGTAGAGAATTCTGCGAAGCTACTGGCTAGGATCTGTACCTAGGCAGTCTCGGCCACGGGGGTATAAAATTTATGAACTTGGTGGTTCTGAAGGCTCTGGGAAAGGTCACTTATTGGCCGGCCTCGGAGTCTGGCACGTCCTAGCGCGGCGTGGTTCTAGTAACCCGAGGTCTCCCCCGGGGTCGCTGGGTAATGTCCTGCTGCGACGGGCTCGCCCAAGCGACTGGTAGGAGCATTAGACGACCGGTGCTCCCTGGGGCCTGACCCCAGGTGGTGCGCTGCTCTTCTGGAGGGTAATAGTGGAGGTTGAACCTCCACGACGTGCCCAAAGGGAGAGTGGACCTGTAGTGGGCTTAGTTCCCGGAACAGGGCAGCCAAAATCCTAACCTCTATTAAACACTTAACACAAGAATCTAATACTTTGGAACATATACCAACCTTGTGGCCCATTAACCCTTTAAGAGAGAAAATACAAGGAATTATGGTATTATCCCGCGTGTACTCTCTGGTGCTACAGAGACATAACTGTCTGGAGCATTCAATTGTAATCTGGAACATTCGTGGTTCAAACACAGGCGAGAGTGCTGTTAGTTTTAGTCTTCCTCCAAAATGTTAACAATATGTAAAGATTTATTTTGATTAGATTGAGAAAAGCTTATCACACTGTCTCATTTCCTGGCAGCTCAGAATATGTCTGTTCCTTGGCCAAAAAAAACATCGCCTTTTTCAAACTATATAGCATTTTCCTTACAAGCTAATATCAATTTAAAGTTGAATTTTGCATAATTTTAATACATTTTTATCCATTCTAGGATGTCAATTGTAAATACCGTATCTTCTTAGATGAAGTGGATACAGTTACAGAAACAGTATCAGATACTTCTAATCCCGATTTCCATCATCGGAAAATGTTCTCATTTACTCCTGTTACTCGACAGGTAAGGATTATGTTTAGAAGTTTTAATCCTTTTAGTATTTTGTTACGATGGAAAATAAGAGTTTAACTTATCTGTAATGATTTTATCTAATTTGTGAAAATGTTTTTAGAAATGACTGGCTTCTAAATGTTTTATTATAAGGCAAAAGAGCTATATCAGTGTAATTTTTTATATGATACGAGTAAATTGAAAAACTAGCTAAAGTTTTGTAGCATTCTCTTTTATCTCTAAAGCTCCCTGCAGTTAAGCTTCATTAAGGGCACAAATAGCTATGAAATGTTTACGTAAATGTATTTACTTATTTAATAACTTATCCATAAATTTCACCGAACGAATATCAGGAAGAAAAGGAAAAATAAGAAGAAAAATCTTAATGGCATTACAATCCATGTGAATTCTGTTTCTTCCTCCAGCAATCTAATAGTCACATCCACATCTGGAGGTTACGACAACGACAAACTGAATGGTTAATACATTATGCATCACTATACCAATCAGGTGTTTAGCATTGTGGCATAGGGTACCGTTACATTGTATTTTTCTTGTTCTAGCCTAGTAAGCATTCTGGTACGTCTAAAGGTCAACATTATGTCTCTTAAAATTGCAGTCTTTTGTAGCATCTTAACAAGATCTGTCTGAGGCCAGTTCTCAAAAGACAATGCATTTCTTCATATGAAACTAGCCGGACAATCCCTAAATGGTCACTGTGTCTTACATTTTCCATGATCCATGTATTTACTGAGTATCACCTGTTGCATTTGTCTGGTCCATGATCGCATAACAGCTGGCTTGCCGCGGAATACTGGCGCCTCCAGTGCCTGGAATTTGACAAATTGAAATCCTCATGGACTGACTACTCCAAATAGGCACCATAACTTCCTCTCTATACCATGCCATGTGACATTATTTATTGCCATCGTTGGTAACATTCACTCTCAGTAACTACTTTATTTATATTCAACAAACTAAAACAAACTGTAATTGTAATCATTTCACATTTATGCTCAAGTTAGCTGTAATACGGTGTTCCTCACTTCTTGGTCTATGTTGAATGTAAAGGAAGCTAATGAGCTGTGAAGCGACTTATCGCTGTGTATAATAGCAAAATCTAGAGAAGTGTTAAAATACCATTTTATTAACTCAAAGAATTATTCACAGACGGCCTCTTCTCGGGCATACCAAGAAGCCTCTACTCGGGCTTGAAATCGACATAAGAAAAATAAGAAAGTAATCTAATATTAAATAACTAACCTAATACTAATCTAATATTAAATAACTAAACTGACTTAGTCGAAGCTAGACACAAATACCCAACGTAGTTGGCCCATAATTTAACCTAGCAATTATCAACAGGCACGTACAAATGTTATGTAGAGAAATTATCTGATAGCGTTATAAAAACTATGTGAATGATTTTATGATTTATGGAAATTTAAATTTTATTTTGATTCTGAATTATTTATTTTAAGGCTTTAATTTTGGGGAAAAACAGATGCTTCTGGAAATATTATTTAGTTTAAATGAATATTATTTATGTTCTTTTATTTGCAAATCTTGTACAAACTTTTATTCATTGTGAAAGAAGCAGGGAAAGGGAGGCAATTTTCGCCAAGTCATGATTTCGCGCGTTTTGTCCTTTGGAATGTTCGAGAAAGAATTTTCATTGTTAGTTGACCTTAAGAGAGGAAAGTACGTGACGGAAAGGTCAAAGGTTGTTACTTGTCTTTCAATGTAAGTCATTCAGGTTTTTGGCGATTGAGGGTCCGGTTGTTGGCTAAGTGAAGAAGGGCGCGCATGCGCGATCACTCTTTTTTCCGCATTCTGGAGTTGAAAAACGAAGATTTTGCCATAATTAAGGGGGCGATAAGTGAAGCCATAGTGGGAGCCCGTTTTGTGAAGGAGACGAAGGAAATTCGAGTTGGATACACACTTACTTTTTGGCTGACTCTCTGACTGACTCTCTGACTGACTCTCGGACTTTCGGGCTTGCTGGACTTGTGGACGTTGCTCTTGAAAACCGGCTGGAAAGAGATCGACAATATGTAGTTCACTACGAGAGATGTTTCCCGGCGGGGAGCGGCAAATATGCTCCCCGGCCGCGTTTTGGGTTAAGAGGCGACTCTCTCTTGCTGACTGGCGGGTGGAACTTACTTGGGACGTTACTCGTGAAGCTTGCTCTTGGGATGAGTAAGAACAGGCGAGCCGTAATTGCCTAGAAAAAACGTTTCTGACCTGAAGCTGAAACCCTCTTCCTTGCGGCGTGCTGGTAAAGAGGCGAAATTTGAACGAGTTACCTGCGTGTTGACATAGGACTTTCAGGACCAAGCGGATAGCCGTCCTGGGCAGCAGTGCTCCTGTTTCTGTTCTACAGTGGTGTAGTGGCGTCGACATCATGAGAACCAGTGTAAAGATGAGCCCGGCCGACGTCAACGCTTATTAAGATACAAGATGTCCACTCAAGATAAGTTTATTTTTTTTTTTGGTGTGTTTGAACTTTAGGCAAGTTTTTTCAAAAACGTCCTTAGCAGTAAAAACAACGTCGAATCTAAAATTTAACTCTCAGGCCTTAAATTGTTTCCCTTTCCTTTCTTTTAAATTACCAGACAAACCTTAAGTTTTTTTTTATGAATTTAAATGAAAAGACTCTCTCAGATTAGGTTAAGATTTTTCATATTGTGATGTAATTGAATAAACTGATATTTAATCTGGAAAACTATTACAGTATGTTTTCTTTATATATTTAATATGAACTTTTCCTTTATATCTTGTATATGTTTATGTTTTCGATCCTCTCACGGCGCGGTCCCGGAATGCATTTTTTTTTTCACAACGCAAAAATGCTGTACACGTTTCACTATACGATCACTAAAATTTTGTTAGTTGGCAAATTCTTAAGAGTTTAGTTTTCCTCCCTAAGAGGAAGTAGAAACCTTTTCACGGCAAGTAGTTTCATATTTAACATTTAACATAATATGAATTTAAGATATAACATTGGTCGAACTTCAAGATGTCTTAACAGATAAGTGTATATTTTTTTTTTTTTTTTTGTTTATTCGATCCTCTCACGTGAAGTAAATTTAACATTGGTGCCGTGAAGTAAGATTCATAACATTATTTCCCGGCGTGAACTTAAGCAATTTAACACAATACGGTCAAGCGTAGTACATTTAAGAAAGATGTAGCCTGACGGTAAACACGTACCATTAAAGACTTTCAAGCTCTCTCTCTCTCTCGAAGTAAGCTGAGCCTTCCTTAAATATTCCTTTCATTTGCATACAACGCGATACTAAAACCTCATTCTGATAGTGAATCGTAGGTGGGTGAAACAGTAAACAGTAAAGCATGTTTTAAACTTAAAATAACTGTTATAAACTGAAAGTAACCTCTTCAGTGTATGGGTTTGTGTGTGCGCCGATAACATCGCGCCAAAAACATCGTGGACGAAAACGTCGCGGAGAAAACAACGCAAGGCGAAAACGTAGTGCTACAAAACATCGTGGGAGAAAACATCGCAAAGAGAAAACATTGCAGTTCTAAAACATCGTGGCACAAAACATCGTCGTCGAAAATAAAGCGATTCAAAAACATCGCAGTTTAAAAACATCGTCGTCGAAAATATCGTGGTAAAAAATAAAGTATCTACAAATCATCGCGTGACGATAACATCACAGACATGGTTTTTTCAGGTTTTAATAATTGTAAATGGATATTCCCATAATGATTTGTGAGCGCAAGGGGTAAAGAAGGATAAATTTTACTTTCACATTTTTTATTAACTAATAAATTTTTGCTGAAAACGTAAGAAGGAAACTTAAGCATAGAAAATTAAATGTAACTTATAGATTATACTTTTCCTGAAATATTACCAATAAAAACTTTATAAAAACGATTTATTAATGGCCTTTGTTAGTTAACTATGTCGGTTTAAAATTCTATTTAGTGCTATAAGTTGCATTAATTTTCTATGCTTAAGTTTCCTTCTTATTTTCTCAGCAAAAATTTATTAATTAATAAAAAATATGAAAGTAAAAATTATCCTTCTTTCCATCTTGCGCTCACAAATCATTATGGGAATCTCCATTTACACTTATTAAAGCATGCCTGAAAAAAGCATGTCTGCGATGTTATCGTCATGCGATGATTTGTAGATACTTTATTTTTTACCACGATATTTTCGACGACGATGTTTTTAAACTGCGAAGTTTTTGAACCGCTTTATTTTCGACGACGGTGTTTTGTACCACGATGTTTTAGAACTGCGATGTTTTCTCTTTGCGATGGCTTCTCCCACGATGTTTTGTAGCACGACGTTTTCGCCTTGCGTTGTTTTCTCCGCGACGTTTTCGTCCACGATGTTTTTGCCGCGATGTTTTCGGCTGTAACCATGGGTTTGATATCTCTTTCTTTTCGTAATTGTGGCACCAGGCAATGTTCATGAAATTTTAAAAATTTTAATATTGTTTGCTATTTTACATACAGCTTTTGTCGTACCTGAAGGATGGCCACATAGTCATTCAAGTCTGGGGAAAACAAAAACCGCGTAAATCAGCAATTGCGAAATCCAAAGGACAAAGTACAAAGCAAATGATTCAAGAGGATCTCCTCAATAGAACTTCAAGGCTGATGAATGGATTTCGAATGAATGGGAGGGTAAGGATCTCTTTCCATAATTCTATAAGAATTCAATTTAATAAATATTCTTATATACATACACAAAAGTAAATTTAAGAAGTTTTGGTGCCGAGGTATAGAATTCGTATTCTTTTTTTCTTCCAGTCTTTCTTTAAGTAATGATTTTGCAATATTAGGGCTTTTTTCAAGATTTCAGTACAGTATGCTGAATAGCACGAATGGAAGAAATTACCGTTTGCTTTCCTGCTGTTTACAAAAGGTTCGAATAATTTCAAAATTGAGGTAAATTTCAGTAAAACGATATCGTCAAATCTAGCAGAATGCAATATATTTTTAGAAAATAAATAGACGACAGTAAAGTTTTTTTGAAAAGGCACGGCAAAGCAAAAAGGCACACAAATGTAGACAAATAGAAAAATATAAAAAATTATGCAAAATATTGTATGAAGTTATTACAAAATTTCCAAGCAATCTCGATACTTATCTTCATCTGATTTATAAAAGAATTCTACCACCAGAAAAGTTACACAATAGCAATTCGTACATATCTTTCCTCCCACTGAATAAGAAAGTCAAAGATATTTTTCTGTTCTATGCTATTATATGTAATATTTCATAATGTTTATGTATTTAATTACGTACGTCTTTTTCTTTCCTAGAATGTGGATCCTAATAAGCAAAGCATGATTGTAGAACTTTTACTGATGAAGAAACAACAGCAAAGACAACAACAGCGACTGGTATTTATTTCAATTTTTAATATGATACATCTTATCACGATGACTAATATTTCTGAAATCATCTCACATATCTTTGTAATAAACTTTAAATTAACAAAATGTTATTAATCGTTCCACATGAGATATGGAATTTCAGAAATTAACTTAAATCAGTCAGATTTTTTTAATGGCAAGCACTAGCCATTTTTAGGCTTTCGCCGCTACTAAGGACCAGAAGGGCCATTTTATTATGAAGGCACCTAATAGGCCACCACTGTTACCTCCTCTAAGGTAACAAACAGTTTATACCCATGCCTTCTCCAGGACTCGAACTCGGAGGCCATTTTATTATGGAGGCACCTAATAGGCCACCAGCGTTACCTCTTATGAGGGAACAGGCCATTTACATCCATGCCTTCTCCGGCAATCGAACTTGGAGACCGTTTCATTATGAGGTACCTAATAGGCTACCACCATTATCTCCTATGAAGAGACAATCATATGCATGTCTTCTCCGGGACTCGAACCCAGGCCTTTCAGTATCGCAGTTGGCTCTCCTAAGCACGATACCACCTCGACGACACAAGTCAGAAAATAGAATACTAGGAGAACCCACAGAATTACTTAATAATAGAAATTCATTTACTAAATTATTGGTCATATTATATCCTTCATTGATTAGTCACACTGAACTAAATCTCTACAAAATGTTCAGCCTATACATGTCATCAGAAAAAAGTTTAGAATTATATATTTATCTAATTTATATGAACACAATAGAAGAAATTCTAAATTTAGTATAAATACGACAAGACAAGTATTGTTTATTTATCTATATAGTTTGGTATCAAATTACATTGATTTCCGTTCTTTTCCTCTTTATCCTGAAAAAGTTATATTAGAATATAAAAAAATTCACAAATTTTACTGTTAAACACGTGTGCGAAATTCGTAGGTTTCTAGAAAGTTCCAGTAAATCGAATATTGCATGACAGCCATGTTTAGTGCAGTACATGAATAACTTTGCTGGAACATGTTACCTCCTAGATGCAGATTACCACAATCAATGTCTGTCTATTTGTACTTCAGCGTCGCTTCTATTCATTATTAATCTTTAAATTTTATTGTGTTTACTTAATTTTTGTATTGTATTATGTGTATTTCAATTTACATATTGTCTTAGTGTATTGACCTGTTAAGCAGTAAGTGCGTTGTGTTATGTTTTCAAATTAAGTTTGCGGTATAATAGTAAATACATATATAGAGCTCTCGGCTAGTACCATGAAACATTGTGTGCAAATGTTTTGTAACAGTTTCTAGTATTGTGCAAAATGCAACAGTTTCTAACAAATATTCGTGGCCACAGAACCAACTTTCTGATAAGCACATTGTATATTGATTGTTATTTTGTAGTATTCGCCATTTTATTTCAGTGTATGTACAGTATTCCATTAAGTATCTTGTATATTTTTTTTCTCTATTAATGTGGAGTGTAATAGTTTAGAATCGTATAATGATAAGTAAGTGTGATGTATAGTAGTAGTATTGAACCAGACTTTCTTGGTTGTAGAACTTTGTAAATATGTATTGAAATGTTTTGCTGGATTTAATGTTTTGAAATGACTCGCATTCTAACTCTGCTACAATATATTATATTCCTAATTTCCCTGTGACTGTTTCCAAAGGTTATTGTCTAGTGTTCTTTTGATTAGTTTCAGCGTTACAGTACAGCATCATGTACAGAATTGTCTACTTTTCTGATACGAGCAGTGTATATGTTGTGTTTTATTTGTAGTATCAGCTTTTACTATGTTCAGTGTGTACTTGTTCAGTATTACGAGCATGTATTGCATGGTGTGTTTTAAAGATTTGTATTATCAGTTTTACTATGTTAGTGTGTTGTTCAATATTATAGTAATATATTGCATAATATGTTTTCTTCATTAGTAATGTGCAGAATTATAGTAAGTGTATAATAGTAAGTCAGTGTGATGTATAACTGCAGGCTTGAAATTCCATTGTTAGTCTTAAATTTTACTGTTTTTGTTTTACCTTTACCAGTTTTGTATCAATGCAGCTTTGTACTTCTAAGTATTTTTTTTTAATATATGCTATCAGGAATGTCATATGTATTCAAGGTAGTCCTTTGTATTCCCTATCTAGATGTAACTCTGTAATCTTTTTTTTTTTTTTTTTTTTTTTTTTTTTTTTTTTTTTTTTTTTTTTTTTTTTTAATTTAGACTTAATAAATGTCTGCAGAGCGGACATCCTACTGTAAGGGCTTGTTCCCGGTCAGTAGTCCTCCTTAGCAGTGTAAAAGTAAAAAAAAGTAAATCGAATAATTCAAAAACTGCATAAAGTTACATTATTCATAAAACTGGAGCCGCTGTAGGAGGTATGAGCATTAGTGGAAGCTGCACGCACCACTGAACTCGGTTCAAATTTCGGGAAAAGCATAGATGTTCATAATTTTAGAAACTTTGCAGAATAGGCAGCTAGCTTAAAATTTGTTAGTAAGAAAATTCTCTCAAGAACTTACTGTTAGGACAAGATAAGTGTGAAATCAAGAAATTCCCTTTCCTTTAACGCTCTCGGTCGAACTGGAATGGATCCTAGTATGTCAATAAGTGTTAGGTTTCTTTTTCAAATTATTGTGAGATCTGGAGGAAATATTTTCAGATTTAACCCTTTAACTATCGAGTTATTTTGATGATTTGGGTACACAAATTGTCAAATTTTTTTATTGCAAATATCAAATGTTTAGTACAAAATAAAATATACTTAAGTAGTTAAAAATTGATATTTTGAAGTACATGGGTAAAATTTTTAAAGTTTTGTAGCCACTGCGTATTTGCTTGAGGCGACTGCCACTCAACATGGCAGCTGTAAAGTTCGCTTCTAGTGAAGCATTGTTTTCTAAAAATGAAAAAAAATTAATTATTTTCTAAAAAATAAATAAATGAAAAAAATAAATAAAAGTGAATACCTATTAGTAGTTCAGTAATTCAGTCTTGTGTGATACAACTTGAAACACTTTTCCAAGCACAAACCAACTCCACAATCACTACACCAGAATCGTGTTTCCTTCCTTATCTTTTTCCCATTTTTATCCTTTTTCGAACAACACACTTTGCACTGTCCTGTAGGCTCACGTTTCACAGGAGTAGGAGGAGTATAGGAAATAAAATGTCGTTCAGTAAGACGGGCAGGGTTATCTATTGTAGGTGGTCTGCCAATATTCTTTTGTCCAGAAGCTGCATCATCATATTTATGTAAAAGCTCTTCTACAACTTGGATTCGAAATTCTAAAAATGTAATACGTTTCCTCAATTACGTTTTTATAGAGCAAAATATGAGTTCCACAAAGTACTTTTGTCTAGTAAATGTAAAAATATCTTTTTATAATATTTTTGTCTGACGTTTTCGGATTGTTGGATGGAAGCATATTTCCTGATCACAGCGATCTACACCACCCATAGTTAGACTGTAGTCAGAAACAATCTTCGGCTTGAGTATATCTTCATTTTTAAAAAAAAATTTTGTTTTTTATTTTTGAGGCTGACCATGGAAGTATCATGAATACTGCTCATCAAACACACATCCTTCATCTTTGGTTGAAGAATCTAAATCATCTATATAACGTTTCAAAAGAAGTGGACGCCATTTTACAACAAAAAGATCCCGTGCACTTTGAACCAAAGCACTTAAACCTCTAACCTTTGAAATCTTCAGTTAAAGTGCTGTCATCTATTGAATTGAGCGCACATTAACTTTTCCCGGAGATACAGTCGGGTTAGACAAAGAGATGAAGCCTGAAATAAACAGTCTCCCGATATGTATTCGGGTATAACAATACGATGCACTCAAAAAAAAATTACCCCGAGTAATACTCGGGCGTGACATTTTCGAACACCAGTGCTGTGCCCGAGATTATCTCGGGCATGACAGTTAAAAGGTTAAGCCAGACTACATTGCACTTCCTACAAAAAATAGTCTACATAAGGAAAGGACCCAAAGTGGTTTGTGCACTTTAAAGGAGTCTTCCTTCCATTCCGAACTGCCGTTTGTGCGTACGATGATGTAGCCGAACTACTTTCTTCTTATCACTGGAAAAGGTTTCTGCTTTTTCAGCTAGCAAAAGGGATTGAATCGGTAAGAAAAAAGATAATTTTTTTCTCGCAAAATTCATCTGTCGTCTACTACATGTAACAGTTTAATGTCTGAGAATGTGAAAGACTTGATAAATTAGATAGGCGGCTAACATCATCAGATTTCCTTGCTGGTACGTGTAACATGTTGTTCCTTCAATTTTAGAGGCTTCAGCTACACAAATGTGAGAAATTTGTCTAAAAGTGTTTCTTATAAAATAAGCAAAAAGATTCCTACTTACTTATTTTCAAAGTAATGGATGTTAAAATCCCTACATATTTCCTATACTCAACAAGTGTACTATGAAATTTTCTTTCATGTACTTCATCTATCTATAAATCAAATTAGTAACATTATACGATCAAAATAATTTATTGTTACGAAATGTACAGGCGCGGTGAGATGGCTTTACCGCAAAGCAGTTTTAGGATTTCCACATTTGCCGAGAAATCGCCCATTTGGCGACAATTGGCGATATACCATGGACGGATGGAGAACCTTCTTGAACGAATTCTTACCGGTTTAGCCAAGAATGTTCTCGAACACAAGCCGAAAGCTATAATAAACCCTGCTGGTCCGCAGTCAGTTAGAGTGTCTGTGCCTCGTCTAGCGAGCTGATAGTCAGTCACTGAGCGAGTGTCTCGAAGTCTTACGCCGACTTGGTCGTCGAGTGCATCGAGAGAGTCTTTTAGTGCATCGCGAATTAGTGCATCGTTGAATTTTGTCTTAGACTGTGCTGAGTCAAGAGCTATACTCTTGTGTATCGTCGAGTGCATCGCGTGGAGAGTCTCGAGAGTACGTGGAGTTCCGAGAACGACCAAGCAGAGTTGGGAGCTGTACTCGGGTGCTTTGCAGTGAAGCTGTCTCCACCGTTATTGCCTGACAGTGGGAAAGCTGTGTCGCTGATGATGTTGTCAGCGTGTGCTTACAGTAACAGTTGTTCGACGACTGTAAAAGTGATTTTTGGAGCTATCTGATTGATATTGGCTAAATAAAGTGTGTTTCGATACTTCATCAAGTGTCGTCGTTATTCACTCCAAATCTACGAAAATAACGGAAGAAAATAACGTAACAACTGGAGTCAGAAGAAAAGAAAAACGCAACAGTATGAAATGTTTGAATGTAATAAATAAAACTAATCAGTAAAATTATTTGGTACGTATTGTGATGAGATTTACTACTAGTAATCTAAGAATCTGAAATCTGAAATTTATATCAAAATAAGAGATAATTTGTTAATATGTTTTAACTTCGCAGAATTATTATGACATTTCGGAATGCACCAAGTCTGAATAAAAAAACTTTAAGTTACTCAATTTAAGTTAAACATTCTCACCCTTCTAAATTTGTTGTCATCGCATTTTTTATAACATCGCAATTACCTTAATGATAACACTTAGAATATTACGCTTGTATACTTTACTTAGGTTAAATAATCTACTTCATAAAGTTGAAAGAATACTTGGCCGTACTTCACCTTCTCTAGCCTACGAGTTGCTTAGGAACATCAAACACTTCTATTTATCATTTGAATATTCTATTTTATTCTATCCTTAAATTTGAATTACAATACTTTTAAAATTATGCCAGTAACATATCTTAACATTTCATTGAGTATTATTTGCGATTTGAAAATTTCGCCATTCTTGAGGCGTTGTATTGGTAGTATGCCAGATTTTGTAACATCTAAAAATAATTGTGGTGCTTTTAGCCAGTTTTGTTTGAGTAATTTGCTGCACCCCTGGGAAATCATTCTAAGTGAATTTTGTATCTGTGTGAAAGTTAGTTGTGAATTAAAGAGGCATCCAAGGAATTGCAACATCAAAATGTTGGTAGATATACAGCAAATCGAGAATAAATCATTAATAAAAATGTCAATTTGTCAAAAAAAATATATTAAGAGGCTGAGTCTTGAAAGCTCTCTTTTTTCGAGCATCTTGTTAGAATATGTATTACCTATTCTAGTTATGGTGGCATTTTGCAAGGAAGTTATTGCGCATAATATAGACTACAGATGTAAGATAATTAATATTTCCAAAAATGTTAATTTCTTTGAGCGTATCATAATTTATTAATCTTATAAAATGCCATTTGTTGTTACTTTAATGATCCAAACAGTGATGGTTCATTTATTATCAATGATGAAATATTAAATTACTAATCTAGATTTTTTTGGACATTTCAGGAAAATATAGGACATCTTGTTGACATAGCTGAAAAGCAAAAGATGAAAGAGTTACCTCTTCCAATAGTAAAAGAATTACTTCTTGCATCTTCCAATCAAGCAGCTGCAAAAGTATTCAATAAAATTTTACCAAAAGGTAAGGCAGTTTTGTACAGTATAGTATATTAGTTATATGACACTTAAACTAATTCAGTGGGTTGTAAAAATTAAACATCATTCTGAAATTAAGGGAACTCATACACCTTAAAACCCTTAAAATATTCGAATATGTGACTGTTGCAAGAATTGGGATAACTTATTTATTTTAAAAGCAATTACTTCCAACGTTTTACAGCCGACTGCATAATATGGCTGCTTTCGGAACTAGTAACCAGAAATTTTGTGTTGCCACAAATATTTTTATAATTTAATGTACTTTGTGACAACATTTTTATGAGTTCACGTCATGTTTCCACCTTGTGCGCACAGTTTAAAATATTTTGCTGCATAATTTAATTCCATATTTAATATATATATTTTATAATATTTGAAAACTACTATGAACCAAAAAGACCTAAGAATTTCATATTAAATTTTTATTTTATTTGGAGCTGAGTTTATAAAACTTATTTTATTAAAACATTCTGTAATGTTTCCGTGCATAAAATTTTTTAATATTAAAATATCCATCAGATTTTTGGTTCAGTTAGAAGACAATGCCCATATAAGGAATTCCATTAAATTTCAAGTATGTATCATTAGCCATTTTTAAAATATCATGCGTGTAAGGTAGAAACATAACGTGAACGCATAAAAAATTTTGTCACAAAGCAGATTAAATTATAAAAATATTTGTATCAACACAAACTTTCTGGTTACTAGTTCCCAAAGCAGCTACATTATATAGTCAGCTGTGAAAGGTTGGAAGTAATTGCTTTTAAAATAAATAAACATCCCAATTCTTGCAACAGTCCATATTCGAAGATCATAAGGATTTTAAGGTGTATGCGCCCCCTTAAAACTGTTTACTTCGTGTTTACTAATTTTATTCATAATAAACTAAGGAGTTGAAGTACTGTTGCATATAGCCAAACTGACAAGAGAAAACAACTTTCCGTACAAAAGCAGTCATCACGGTCTATCTTTGGCCGGAAACTAGCTGGACGGCTTTGCATACAACAAATAGTTGACTCACTTGGAAGGGTATTCATGAAAACTATTCGCGCAGGCTGGCCCATTATAAATTTTTTTAAACTCCATAGCTGTTTTGTTTGTATACGAACAGTTACAAAGTTAGAAGAAAATAATACTTTTTATTGCCATTTCTGGATAAGATATCTGTGGTTATTATTCCCTGAACGGAAGCATTTAATTCATGGATAGTGTCCTGAGCTATAAAATATTAGACGTTCTCCTGTCGAATTTAGGTTCCATCGACCCTCAACTGACCTAGGTACCATCGGTTCATTTGGACCTATGTTCCATCGGTCCTAGTCAATTTAGGTTCAATCCAGGAAAAAAACCATCGAAACTAGTCCTGGAAAATTTTCAAATATAATGCTGATTTTTGCTTTTTAACTTCTAAATTAATCAATTAATTGATGTTGTGAGATGAGCTTAACATAATATTATCAGATCTTCGAAGTATGTTTAGTGAGGAAAAGGTCAGTAAACCAGGCAGTAGTCTAATATGGTGTGAAACTTTATTAAAATAATCCTGAGAGATCTGCGTCGTTAGTGGCCATTTATTGTCTTGTTAAAAAGGGGCCTGAGAATACTTTGTTAAAAATACCAGCCCAATGAATCCCAGAATAAATATTCTACAGCCATCAGAATGAATGGGAGGATACTAAGAGTTATACTACTGTTGTACAAAACAGATCTCAACATATTTATTTTAATGCGCAAATTTTGCCAGTATTTCCGCGTTAAAGTAAAGACTCCTACATTGGTCACGTCTCCAGGTACACGTCCTTGGCCATTCGCGACCAGTGCTAACCATACTGGATTCTTTCCCACAGGTTGTCATATCAGGCGCTAGCAGAACTTCTGAAGACAATTTCTTTAATCAGGCTACAGAACAGTTTCTTAGAACTCTGTGCAATTAGTTAACTCGACTGATCAGATCGTTTAAGAATAGAAGGATAGACATTTTTATATCTTCAGAGAATGCCATAGTCATGGATAATAGATCGGAATGGGGTGCGAGCGATTCTTAATGTTTATACATGTGTTCCCTCCTGACGTTCCATTATTGCTTTTCTTTTTTTCGAAAACATCGAAGAAGTTAGTGGCGCTCGGTTTTCCATCGATGACTCACTGGCAACAATATAACTGGAATGCTGTGCCGTTCTCGTAAGCTTTCTGGTAATGTCACAAGAAGTATTGGCTTCTTTCAGGCAAATGAAATGCCTTGCGATAGTGTTGCTTAGTTATTCATTTCATTTTTAGTATCTGGAATCAGTTCGTCTTTTATATTATATAGGAAATCATATTATCAGCACTGTCATTTATCTATTGGGCTTTACTCCCACGGGGCCACGACGCGAGCAATTTGGCCGTTTGGCTGCGGTAGTAGCCGTGGTTTTCTCACTGTTTGAATCATATGGACGTTGAGAAATTAAACAATTCTTTTCACATTTTATGAATCATTATGAAAACGTTAGAGATTTCTTCACTCTTCAAATACACGTCATATTCTTATACGAACTTTTCATGAAATTAATCATATACAGAAAGATTTATTCCTTTTAATTACCAAGCTGTTTACAAACACGTTTCAAATATTTTAAGAGAAAATACATTTTGTTATCAAAGTAAGTGAAGAATAAATCAAAGGTTGTTTAAAAGGCAAGAAGAGGAAACGAACATTATGGATCATAGATTAACATTTAGGTCTTATTCTTTGGTTTTTTGATGAATTTGTTTTTAAATCTCTTTCTTAAAAATATATTACGAAATTTGAACGAGGAAAACTACTCAGAATACAAGTGTTCGTCTATAGCCTTAAGGTCACACCTTGGCACTGACCAGGTCTTAATACGTCGATTATCCTGAAGCTTTACAATAACACGTTCGAAGATGACATACTAAGAAGTGAGTGGATTCAAAAAATTATTCCAAAATTTTATTTTGGTAAAAATGCACAAAATGAAATTATTTCCCCCTGCATTTGGGAGATGAGGAAAATCTGTGCGGAAGTTGTTAATTGTCCTGAAAAACCATGTCACAAAGAAAATTAACTAGAGGAGGAGCCATTACCTTGATTTTTTTAAACTGGTTAAAAATGATCCTCATTTTCCTGAACGTGTCGTTACTGTTAACAAGTCTTGGGTGTTCGAATACGACTTAGAAATAAAGCGCCGAAGACAGGAATGACACACTTCAAACTCACCAGAACCGAAAAAAGCAGGAGTGGGCAAGTCGAAGGTAACGCATGCCGATTTGTTTTTTCGATGGCCAGGGATCATCTACGATGAGTATGTGCCTTCTGATAAAATACAGAATCAATACATTTCACTGAAAAGTTCTTGAGACGAAAAAGGGTTATGCGTCTGATACCAAGAATCAAGACCCATCGGGTGTTGCATTGTGATAATGTATCTTGTTATACTGCATTTTCAATTAATGAGCTTTTGACAAGTAAAAACAGCCCTGTGACTATTCCTCCCCTTAAGCCCCCTGGCGCGAGTCTAAGTGACCTTTTTTTTTCTATTCTGTAGATTGAAAATGACTCTTCAAAGCAAGTCAATTTGGGACATAGGTACAGCCGTAACTGACCAGATAAATGCAATATCAGCATATGAGTTCCAGCACTGCTATGAAGACTGTAAAAATTATCTTCAACACTGAGTGGCTTCACAAGATGATTATTTTGAAGGGGACAATGTGAGATTGTAATTTTAATTGAATAAAAATTTATAAAAATTAATCTCATTACCTTTTCTACACCTCCCCAGTGTATAATCAAGAATCATCATCATGCCAAATAATTTAATAAAGTTGCAGCATAAGATCATTTTTTATTTTGATTCTTTCTGTGTGAAAGAGTTATGTTACACATCATCTATACATACGTCAAATGCTCTTATCTTTGGAATCCAATTAAAGATTACTACATTCATGTCTTTTAGCCATATTAAAACGTTTGTTATAAAGTTACTGGAGCCATAAACTCCCATAAAATATCTAATTTTTCAATCAGTCCTATCTTACAAGTTTTAGAACACTTTAAACAAATATAAAATTTCCTAAATATAATTTTAATATTTAAATCTAAACAATCATACTTTTCTAATACTACTGCCGCATAGGAGCCTGGGTTATTTCGATTTTGTAGCAATCTATAAAAATTTATCAATGGTAGCTATTTTCTTTTCATGGCATGTAGGTAATGCTTTGCAAAATGTGTAGCAAAGCACGTAATACTAAAATCATTTGAGAAATTGCCTAAGCACTTAGGTTTTCAGTGGTTATCTAAAATTCTACAATATGTTTTCAATGTTTGTTCTTCACTTGTATAATACTCACTATGAACAACAAGTCCGTTTCACCAACAGATGGTGCCACTTGCTTATTCTTGTCCAGGCTTTCTTATCTTATCTAATCATTATTTCCTATCTGGTTCATTTGCGGTTTTGCAGGCGAAGATGGTGGTTCGGTAAATTCATCGAAACTAGTCCTGTGAAAATTTTGTAAATATAACGCTGATTTTTGTTGTTTGACTTCTGAAGTCTGTTATTATTTATTGATATTTTAGGTAGCCAGTTACCTAGAACACCGCAGAGCAGAGCGGATGAAGAAATAGAGGAAGCAGACGAATCGGAAGAAGAGGAGGAAGACGAAGAGGAAGAGGAGGATGAAGAAGATGATGATGATGACGAGGATGATGATGGTAAAAGAAGACGACGACGTCAAAGGCGTAGACGAAGGGATGACTCAGATGAAGATGATGATAATAATTCTTACAAAGGTTCTACTATGTGCTGCATTTTGTAAACTGAATTCTTCTTGTAACCTATCATAAAGTATTTGATTGTCATCTAAAACTGTTGGAAATTGCAGAATGATTCAACGCAGATTTGGGAGAATCAAATATGTAGAGAAGAAAGTTTCGTAAATAAGTCCTGCCAAATGTTTTACAATTATTTCAGTCTAAAACAAACTTTAAACAAACGTTATGATGTCAATTTCTAGGACTTATAAATAGAAATGAAATGAGAAGAATGTCAGATCTGCCTGAAGAAACAGTAGCAGTAATGCAACTGAGGTTGACCAGACAGCAACGAGTATTAGTACACATGTTTTCATTCATCATTAGGTCTGAAAACCGGTAATTTTCATTTTTCAAATCAGTGCAAACATTTTCTCCCTAAAATTATCCGTTTTTTGAAAATGGAATGGTGGGAGTACGTGAATTTAAAATCAATACTCATTTTGTATCTCATTTAATAACAAAAGAAAACTGAATTCTTATTTGTGAAGAAAGTGGTTCACGTTCTCAGTATTTTTTTAATTACCTAATTCATATTTTTTTTTATTAGAAAGAGTAATTCCTTGTTACACATACTTACCGTGTTGTTTTATGGATGTAATTGAATATAGCTAGTTTTAAGCGCTCTATACAGGGTGATAGAACGCAGTTATATGAGAAATATTCGTCATAGAATGCATGGTCGGAACGCAAGCGGTGAGACGATAAATGGTAGTTTTTCACTGTTACATTTAAAGAATTAATACAATAATGATAGGATTTACTTCAGGAAAGCTTTTATTAACAGGAATGTAATTGATGTACACGCTCAAAGAAATTGCTCAAAATACCTTCATCTAGCTGTAATGCAAGCTTCACACCTGCAAGACAGGGCTTGACGCACTTTTGCCAAGACGTCAGGTATTTCCCTAATACCGCCGGCAACAACGCGATCATGGCGGCTAGATCCATATTGGTTTCAAAGGGGCACTCGTAAATTGGTCTTTGATATGGCCCCACAGGAAAAAAGTCCAAACACGAGAGATACAGTGATCTCGGTGGCCAAGCTATGGGACCACATCGACCAATCCATCGCCCTGGAAATTACGTGGCTCGTGTATCCAGCCAATCTCTCGGCAATCCACGGTAGAAAATGCAGTTAGGTGGGAAGACCGGGCCTTTTTATACCATTTATTATACCACATAGTGGCGTGCCGTTTGCGTTCCCTCCAGACATTCTATGACGAATATTGCTTGTACAGCTGAGTTCTATCATCCCGTAAAGTTTTGCCCGCTTTTTTAAGAGTCACCCGTTATAACGTTACATCCTCGAGATAATATTTTTTACTAAAACGCAACTTCAACGCATCAAAATGTCGCCGCGCAGCAGAAAATTGGGTAAGAAACTTTTATATTTAATTGCTTTTGAAAGATTTAATAAAGTAAAAAGAAACTAATGAATACTACTAACAAATCTTATCCAGTGGTCGGCAAACTTTAGAATAAAAAGAGACAAAGTTCAGCAGTCCAACTATTCTTTTCAAATCCAAAATAAAAATATGACTAAACGCGCATTTAATGTGCACAATGACTTGTCAGTTCCTTGGAAAACTTAGACGATAAGTCAGGTTGGTATGTCCTTATATGTCGTTGTTTTTAAATTCAGGCAGAATTCCAAGTTATGTTTAATAAGACGACTTATCAATTTGACAGTGCTCATGCTCGAAAAGTATTGTTCGCATGAATATGTAGAGACATAGAGTGAAAGAATAGCAAATGTTAGTTTCTTTAATTGATCATATGAGTCAGGGTTACTATTCTAGGTGTTGAAAACTGTCATGTCTTCCTTCACCAAGTCCTTCAAAGTAGAGCACTTTTGCTGTGAACTGAGATCACATTTTTTTCCCTAATTTTTCCATATCAGCATTAAGGAGTTCAAATTTAAAGCTCCATAATTCTTTGTTTTTTGACGCCAGTAACTGCATTTCAAAAGCGCCAATGTCAATATTAAAGGGAAAGAAATTCAATTCTGTTACGTCAACACTTAGAGGTCGGCAAAGGCTAACGCCGCTTTCCTCTATCTGACTTCTTGAATTCTTGTAAAGGACAGCAAATTTCTTTTGGAAATTTCTGCGGAGAAAGCACTTTATGATGAATGATACAATGATAAAGAAATATTTCGTGATTAATGTTTTTCCTTCAAAATTGAAAGAAAACTTTTTCTCTCTCCGGTCATACATTTTGCCTATCTGTTTAAATTCAAATAATTTTATTGAGTGGAATATGGTGTTTCTTCATGCATTCAGTGTTATTGTTTACAATATCATCGCTACGAGTTTGATCTTTCAGTAGCAATAATCCCTAGAATAATATAACCTAATTTCTTCTTTAGGGCCAGAAGACGAAATAAATCGAAGACAAAGTGACTTAATTTCACAAGATTCGCCAAAAGTACTGGTAAAAGCTGAAAACAAGTTAAGATCTTCGATTTGCTTTTTGATTATATTAGAAGAGATCTTGACTTTTCTTTTTCACTTTTATCAGTGGTGATTATCGACAATGCTAACTATTTTTTTTTTTTTTTTTTTTTTTTTTTGCTTTCTTCTTGAAATTTCGGAAGACCTCTTCGCATGCCTTTATGAAACACCTTTTGATATATTCACTGTTCTGTGCATTCATGTGCATTCATGATATATTCACTGCTTTTGATATGGTTTGCCTCTCCTAGCAGTTTCTTGACTAATAATAGTTTCTAATGTTAACATTTTTGGAAAATTTCTCCTAATATTTAAATGCAGAATTTCATTTTTGACTCTTTCGATGTTCCTCGACTGATTTCTAGGGATTTTTGCTACTAAATTTTCTTGTAATGTGTCTCTACAAATTTGATTTCTTGTTATGAACAAATTTTTCATGACAAATAAAACACATCAGGAGGCTATCTGAGTTTTGAATAATCGCGAACGATTCATTCTTTCCACTCTACTTTAAGGGGTGTTGCAACCCCAAAATCTTCAAAAAATTGTGATTTCGGATTTTTGCATTTTCAAATTTTCTATACTTTTATCTTTCTAAAAATATCATTCTTTAATCTGTATGAAAATTAGAACTGTAAAAAATCTAGTTTAATTTGTCTCTACTGCTTTGACATGAGGATTTTTAGATAAAACGCGTTTGTCCCAACGTGATTTTTTTATCTCGATGTACCTTTTCTCGGAACTACTTCTCACAGGATCTAAACTTTTTATGGCTTATTTATTAGGTTCCCAATATTACTGAAATGAGCTTTTTGTAATAAATTTAAAAAAAAAAAAAATTTTTTTTTGGGTGAGAAAGTGCTAAATTTTACTATGCCTAACCCAAATTCTGTAATTTACTCTAAAAATTCAAAATGCTTCAAAGCTCATTTCAGTAAATCAGATAGGTATACTTTAATTACAGAAAAAAAATTCAAGCTTGTATCTACAGCAGATTTTGAGAAAAGGTACATCGAAAATGGCCTTTTTAACATTGTTGGTATAGGAGTTTCTGATACCCCTTAAATTCAGAGTTTTCGTCTTATGTTTTTCTCTGCTTCTTCTTTGTAACCATATCAAACTTGGTGGCACCCCAAAACATGCTTCAGCAAAAAAAAAAAAAAAAAAAGCAGAACACAAAGTTATAACAGCTTAGTAAATTGTTGCCAATAATACCTGGATGTGATGGCTGAAAGATGCAAGTAGCTAAATGCTCCGAGTATGTACTCTTCTCGCTGCAGTGAGACATTTCAGCAAGGCAGCCATTGACCATTGAATATTCTGATGCACTAGTTGTGTCTGGCTAATTCTCCTTCAGTTCGTGCGTTAGTCGCGTGTATCTCCTCCGCAATATATACACTCCTCCCGCCTGCGCTAGGTCTATTCGACTTCTTGTCCGCAAATTGTCAAAATCGATTAGTGGCAAATCCTCACTCAAGTGGCTAAAGAGCTGCTGTTTGCCGACCACTCGCCTAAGCTCTTCTCTCTGAATTAAATAAACTAATCAAATTTTCATAGTGAATCTGAGATATATAAAGAATATGTATTGAAAGAACCAGTATTGAAGGAAACAAAAGCTGCAGTCATCTTCACACATCCTTTTATATCTTAGACTTGCTTAAAAGAATATCAAGGTCCGTCAGTTTATAAAACATATCTACTGACCACCTTGCCATTAACGTTTTCAGTTGCACTGAGCTGAAATAATTCATTAAACGCACAACGTATACTGTTTCTTCATGTATGTTCTTACTTAGGAAAATATAATAAAAATAAATTTTTCATCAAAGGATATTTTATGTGAATTGAAATGATTAAAAAGTTTTAATTTTCATGAAACAAATTGTGACTGTACAATCGATGTACTTTTAAAAGAATATATTTTCTGAAATAAATGTATTTTGTCATACGTTTTCCAGCCTCGTGATTAAAAAATTTCAACATTTTTGTTAGTATGCCTCATCATCACAGGATAATGATGCATCGATAAGCACTGGTAAATACAATGTTATGTACTATCGATAAGCACTGGGAAAAATGCATAAACTTTCGGCTGAAAGCCCATGAATAGCATATCCAAGATTGGCGTTAGGTTTTTTGCCGCGCGGGGCAAGCTTCAGAAATCCAAAATTCTTCAGTCGTTATTAGCTGAATTCTAAACATTTTGCCACTCTAAATTCTCCGGTGCAGTCGCGCCAATTGCGCAATATACTCTGGCACCTCCCTGAACAGACCTACAATATAACTATAAATTGACTCTCGAAACCGGTTTCTGATTAGCAGATGAGACTTTTCATGTTTTATTCTGAGTTTCAGCTAATTTCTTATTCTAAATACCAGCTAGTTTATTTTAGAAGTTGTCTTAAAGGCAGCATCCATCCTCAGGGAATCGGATGCTTCGGGGGGTTGCATTTATGATCGAAACCTGACTCATTCCCAATTTGTTGGGTTAAAGTTTAATTAAGGTAACTACGTTTATAAGGTAACTACGTTTGTAACTATACAGTTTT